TACACAACTATATACTACACTATACACAGCACTATACACTACACAACTATATACTACACTATATACTACACAACTATACACTACTCTATACACTACACTATATACTACACACTACACTATACACTACACAACACTATACACTACACTATGTACTACACAACTACACACTACACTTTACACTACACACTACACTACTATACACTACACTATACACTACTATACACTACACTATATACTACACAACTATACACTACACTATTCACTACACTATACAGTACACTATACACTACACAACTATATACTACACTATATACTACACAACTATACACTGCTCTATACACTACACTATACACTACACAACTATAAACTACACTATACACTACACTATACCCTACACAACTATACACTACACTATACACTACACTATATACTACACAACTGTACACTACACTATACACTACACTATACACTGCACTATACACTACACAACTATATACTACACTATACACTACACTATACACTACACAACTATATACTACACTATACACTACACAACTATATACTACACTATATACTACACAACTACACACTACACTATACACTGCACTATACACTACACAACTATACACTACACTATATACTACACAACTACACACTACACTATACACTACACTATACACTATACTATACACTACACAACTATATACTACACTATACACTACACAACTATATACTACACTATACACTACACTACATACTACACAACTATACACTACACTATATACTACACTATACACTACACTATATGCTACACAACTATACACTACACTATACACTACACTATACACTACACTATACACTACACTATACACTACACTATACACTATACACTACACTATACACTACACTATACACTACACTATACACTACACTACACTATACACTACACTATACACTACACTATACACCACACTACACTATATACTACACAACTATACACTACACTATATACTACTATACACTATACAACTATACACTACACTATACACTATACAACTACACACTACACTATACACTACACTATACACTACACTATACACTACACAACTATATACTACACTATACACTACACTATACACTACACTATACAGTACACTATACACTACACTATACACTACACTATACACTACACTATACACTACACTATACACTACACAACTATATACTACACTATACACTATACACTACACTATACACTACACTGTACACTACACTATACACTACACTATACACTACACTACACAACTATACACTACACTATACACTACACAACTATACACTACACTATACACTACACAACTATACACTACACAACTATACACTACACTATACACTACACAACTATACACTACACTATACACTACACAACTATACACTACACTATACACTACACAACTATACACTATACACTACAACTATACACTACACTATACACTACACTATACTGGTCGCCGCATTGCGCGGCGCTTCCAGACGCGCTTCTGCGGCCGTCTGGAACGCTCCTCCCTTCCGAAACGAGGCAGCCACTGGAGCTGTCCACTTTCAAATAATTTAATTGGAGACCAATTCCTTTAGAGCTGCTCTCTGTGGTTAGTTTGGTGCTCATCCCCCGCACCTCCCATTAGCACCGTTGGCTGCGCAGGGCTCGAAACAAGTTCACCGTGCATGCAGAGACAAAGATCCCCCCTATAGCCTGAGCAGACTGTAGGGGCAAGTGCTGTTAGCGAACACCTCGTAAGACCGGCAACGGCACACGAGCGGGTGGGCGACACCCCCGGTCGCCTTTGTCTCCCCCAGTGGTGATGTTAACACACCGCACCAGCTGTTTTAGTCTGAGCCGACCTAGGCGAGGACCAGGACCGTTTCGGAGAATCGTCACTGGTGTCGGCCGTGAGCGGGAATCCAGCTCGGCTCAGCAGCGTGCTAACCGCTGCGCCACCGCTCCCCAGTATCACGCACGCACACACACGCGCACACACACACACACGCGTACAATCACCGAGACACACTCAGACACCAAGACCCGGAGGCCTTGAACCCTGGACCCAGCATCTCGCTGGCGCTGTCTCAGTGTCTCGGCCACGGCGATCGTGAAACCACCGAGCCGCCACGTGACTGGACGAGTTACTCTGTAACGGGACGAGCGAGTGACCTTTACACTGGTCACCGACCCCCTGGTCAATTTGCAATGAGGCCGGTCCTTGCCTCTGCGGCGTTCACCTCGCGACTCGTCAATTTGTACATTCCGCGGGATGCTTCATTGGCCCACGAATAACCGATCTTTCTCTTTGAACGAATGTCCTCGTGTGAATGCGTTTAAAAAAAGAAAAATCAATGAAATCTACGGAAATGATCTCGTCACTTTGTACCCCATTGTACGTTTGCACTTCATCTGCGCCGTGCGTAGCTAACCGTGCTGGTTTCATCGCTTTTAGCACTCATCGCCTGTGCCTCTCGGCACTTTCATCTCTCGGCACTTTCGTGTCGAGCACCAGACGCGATTCGCGGATAGCAAGTTCGTGAACGGCGTGGGAACACAATGTGGGCATCTGACAGTTCACCAGCATTGGCTCAAGTGCGCCGGACTGCTGATGAGAATCTGCATGTCAAAACCGGTCAATGTCTATAGACGCCTGGCAGTTCAGCATTGGCTTCAGTGAGCGTGACCCTGCTGATGAGACTCTGCATGTCAAAACCGGTCCTTGGCTATAGACGCCTGTCAGTTCGGCACTGGCTTCAGTGAGCGTGACCCTGCTGATGAGACTCTGCATGTCAAAACCGGTCCTTGGCTATAGACGCCTGGCAGTTCAGCATTGGCTTCAGTGAGCGTGACCCTGCTGATGAGACTCTGCATGTCAAAACCGGTCCTTGGCTATAGACGCCTGGCAGTTCAGCATTGGCTTCAGTGAGCGTGAGTCTGCTGATGAGACTCTGCATGTCAAAACCGGTCCTTTGCTATAGACGCCTGGCAGTTCAGCATTGGCTTCAGTGAGCGTGACCCTGCTGATGAGACTCTGCATGTCAAAACCGGTCCTTAGCTATAGACGCCTGGCAGTTCAGCAGCATTGGCTCAAGTGCGCCGGACTGCTGATGAGACACTGCATGTTGGAACCGCTCCCGAGTTTTGCCCTGCGTGCTCGCAACGTCATCATCACACGGCAGGTGCAAAACTCTCAGCCTTGTCTAAACCACCACCTCGGCGGAGCTGAGCATGCAAGCAGTGACACGGAGAGACACGAGTACACCGCCTTCATCTTCATGACGACTCGTCAGCATGGCACAGCCGTCAGCGTTCGGGACGTTGGGTTAGGGCCACTTGTTGTGGATGCCAATGGCTCGAATCGAGCGGCCACCCTGGTTAATACTGCGGTCGTGTGCACGAATCGTGGTGACACTTGGTCCTCACCTCACGCACAGTGGACGTTCAAGATCCCGTGACGTCCTACGCAAGAGGAGGGCCATCGCGTGGCGCCACGGTGGCTCGGAGATGTTAGCTACCTCGCCGGGTATGCGGAAGGTCGTGGGTTCGATCCCGACCCTTGACGCCTCCTGCTGCTGCTGCTGCTGTAGATTTGGAGCTCGCGCGTTCTCACCGTGGCCGCGTGGATTTATCTTCCTCCGGTTTTTCCCCTCCAAGTTCAGAAGCATGCAGGCGTTGTTGCTGGCCCACCCCCACCCCCACTCACCCCCTCGTGTGCCGTGCCGGCCGTGAGAGATGCTACTCGCGAGCAGCACTTGCCCCAAAAAGTCTGAAGTCTCTGCGAGGGCCCTTTGTCTCTGTGAGTGAGTGTTGTGGCCTGATGTGCTTGCGTGGCTGCATGCGTGCCGGCATTGCGAACCCACCCCAGGTACGTGCTTCGGTTTATATCCACAGCTCCAATAAAAAGCATTAGAAGACCTCGTAACGATGCTGAACACAGCCTCGTCGAACGCGACTTTGATCCCTCACTGATAGCGCCTATCTAATGGCTCACGGAAATGGGGTTCGGCCGTCAGCAGTTTTACGTCTGCGACGGCCCGCTAAGTGCCGTGTTGAGCTAGGGGACAACGGGGCTAACGGAGAGGGTCGTTGCCTACAAAACACCCAGCAGTTCACCGAGCATTCGTTGCTGATGAGACACTAAATGTCGAAAGCGTTGCCTGCCTATAAACACCAAGCAGTTTCACAGCAAGGGCTCAAGCATGCCTGCCTGACTCTGCGGATGAAACACTGAATGCCGTCAGACGTCATCCCTCCCTTCGGTGGCGCGGGTAGCGGATGAAACAAATATCGTGGTTGCCCTATGGATAGATCCACCCCCCCCACCATAGGAATGTGGAATCTCCACCACTGGCTCTACAGGGCTGTACACGGGCGATGAGCCGCCAATGCCTCGACGCTCGTTGAGGCCGGAACGTCTAATTCCCGCTGAGCTGCGCGCCAGTCCGTCCGTCCGTCCGTCAGGCGCGTGAGGGGCATGCGCTACGCCGTTTAAACTGTTTACCTATTAAACTAAACTACGTGTTTTTATTTTTTCTTACAAGGTGAGGCCCACCGAGCTACTTAGCTCTTTATCAGAAGCGACCTTTTCCTTGAACAAATGATTGGGCTATCAATCGTGCAAGTCGGGCTATCATTCGTTCAAGTCGGGTTAGGATTCGTTCAAGGTGGGCTAATCGTCGTCATGTGGAATGTTATAGCAGCAGCAGCAGGCAACTACTCTGAATGCGTGGACGTCAATGTTAAATGTGGAGGGCAACAGCGGAGCATTCGAAGAGCAGAATCCACGCGGCCACCACGGGGTTAGAACATTCCTAGAGGAGGCAGGGTCGGGATCTAACCCACGACCTCCTCCATTCCAGGCGACGGAGAGAACTTCTCACCATCACCACCACCACCGCCGCCTCACTTGGGAGATTCAGCCTGAACTCTTTCTCTCTCTCGCCCCTCCCCACCCCAGCAGCCCCCCCGGTGCCCCCCACCGACCCCCCTGGATTTTGCCCCCCACGATCCTCCGTTGGCGATGGTCCTTGGAACGATTTCCGTCTGCCCAGGGACACTGTGGCGCAACACTACGACGTGGACATCGAGGTGTGTGGCACCTCGCCTGCGGGGGTACACGCGGTGGGGGGGGGGGGTACACGGGGGGGGGTACACGTGGGGGGGGGTACACGTGGGGGGGGGGTACACGTGGGGGGGGGGTACACGACAAGCAGTCTTACCACACACCACCACCCCCGTCACACGAGGTGAGAGTTCACCACTCCACGTTCCACGACCCGCAACACTCAACCCTCAACCCACGACTCTCCGCCTCCACCCCTTTCCCCCCACCCCCACCCCTACCCCCCCACCCCTACCCCCCACCCCTACCCCCCCACCCCCCCACCAATCTCCCCACGGCCCCCCGCAGGTGCCCGACTTGGCGGGCTCCACGTACAACGGCGAGGTCCGCATCCGCCTCTCGCTGGCGGCGGGCCGGCCCCCCGGCCCCTACCTGCTGGTGCACGTCCGCGGCCAGACGCTGACCGCGCAGCCCGTCCTCGACGAGGTCGTGGGGGGCTCGCTGGTGGCGGTGGGGGTGGCGGACTGCTTCTGCTGGCGGGGCAACGAGTACCTGGTGGTGGAGGCCTCGCGGGCGCTGCAGGCGGGAGGCCACGACGTGCTGCTCACGCTGAGCTTCTCGGCGCCGCTCACAGGGACGCTCGTCGGCTTCTACAGCGTCGCCTACGTCGTGGGGGGCACCACGCGGTGAGTACTGCGTGGGGGGGGGGGGGGAGCACTGCAGGGGGGGGGGGGGGGGGGCCGAGCTCTGGGGTGAGCTCTGGGGTGAGTGTTGGGGTGAGTGTTATGGTGAGCGCTGGTGGGTGAGTGTTGGGGGGGTGAGCGTTGGGGGGGTGAGCGTTGGGGGGTGAGGAGTGTTGGGGGGTGAGGAGTGTTGTGGGGTGAGTGTTGGGGTGAGTGTTATGGTGAGCGCTGGTGGGTGAGTGTTGGGGGGGTGAGTGTTGGGGGGTGAGTGTTGGGGGGTGAGGAGTGTTGGGGGGTGAGGAGTGTTGTGGGGTGAGTGTTGGGGGATGAGGAGTGTTGTGGGGTGAGTGTTGGGGGGTGAGTGTTGTGGGGTGAGTGTTGTGGGGTGAGGAGTGTAGGGGGGTGAGTGCCGGATGGGCAACTCTGTCGTGGACAGTGCTGTGGGGGGAGGAGCCAATTTCGATTGGCTCCTCCCCTCATGGCATCTGTGTCCACCACAGGGGCTAAACGGTGGCTCTGGACGGGTGCAAGGGGCTGGTAACCCCTCTACCTTCAATTAATTACCACTAAACGGCGAATTAAGTATATAACTAATAAGCTTGTGCCGGAGGCCCCGGGGGGACAGGCGTCTATGACGTCTCCTGGCCAAACCCCAATTGGCGGAGCCAGGATATTGAATATCTACTCTCGGGGCTCCTCCAGAAACAACGAAAAACCACTACGGATGGCCACGTGGAATGTTCGAACGCTCACTGCGGAGGAGAGGCTGCCACTCCCCTGTCGGGAGCTGGACCGGTACTGCCTGGATCTATGTGGCATTCAGGAGGTCCAGTGGATCGGTTCTGGCTCCTGCCACCATGAGGGGTGGACAGTCCTCTACGTGGGGGAGCAGACTGCCAAACAACAGGGTGTGGCTCTACTTTTGAACAAAAGAATGAAGGGGGTATGGGAGCGTGGCGGTGAGGTGTGGGAAGCTGTAAGCCCCAGGCTACGTTGGGCTCGCCTTCCCATCAACCAGAGGCGAGGGATGGTGGTCGTGGTTACTTATGCCCCCACCGAAGATGAACATCTGTGGAGGGATGCAGGCAAAGCCGATGAGTCAGATGCCTTCTATGACCTCCTGTCACGGGTGCTGGCTAAAGTGGCCCCTCGGGATAGAGTCATTATGTTGGTTGACTTCAATGCCCGAGTTGGCCATGATGCTGGCACCTGGTCTGGAGTGATTGGAGGGCATGGGCCAGATCAGCTCAATAACAACGGTAGGAGGCTGCTAGATTTTTGTGCAGCCCATGGGCTTGTAATTACCAACACGCTGTTCCGGCATCGGCGCATCCACACAACATCATGGATGCATGCCGGGTCCAAGCAAGAACATCTCCTGGACTACATAGTGACGGACCAGCGGATGCGAGCCCATGTCCTTGACACCAGGACCTACCGTGGAGCTGATCTTCTCTCTGACCATCAACTAGTCATCTGTAAGATGCGCCTGCCATTCTTCCACTCCGGTGGTGGGTGTACACCCAGGACCACATTTAAACCTAAAGTGGCCTGGTCTCAGTTATCTGATGAAAGTTGCAAGCGAGAATTTCATCATCGCTTGCGGCTGGGATTGGCATCTTCCCCGACTCAACCTGATGTCGAGGGTAAATGGACGAGGTTTAGGACTGTGACTCATGCAGCTGCAATGGCTGCTTTGGTTACGCGGTCCAGACCTCCCCAGAGACCCTGGCTGACAGAGGAGGTGTTCAGGATGGTTGAGAAAAAGCGACAGGCCCACTGTCATCGGCTACAGAATCCCACGTCAGAGAATGAGGAGGCTTACCGCAGCTTTCGCTCTGAGGTTCGGAGAGCCGTGAGGCGCTGCAAGGATGGGTGGTGGTCGCGGGTTGCTGAGGAGATGGAGTCTGCCTCAGTGGCCTGTGATCACAAATCTCTATTTAACTCCATCAAAAAAGTAACCTGCAGCGCCACACCTATTACCATCATTAGGGGAAAAAACGGTGATCCAATCTCCGAACCCCAGGAACAGGTTTGCAGATTTGCTGAGCACTTCTGTGAGGTCCTGGGGGAGGGAAAATCCCTCAGCCAGGAAAACATCGTGGCACAAAGTGAGGATGACCCTGCTGAGGCTGCGGTGCCTCAAATATTGGAAAAAGTCACCCCCTGTGAGTGGCTGGCTGAGATGCCATCTGTTGAGGAAGTACTGATGTCGATCCGGAGTCTGAGACCAGGAAAGGCAGCGGGCAGAGATGATCTCCCAAGCGAAATGCTGAGGGAGGGTGGCGTTTTTGCACAGACTGCCCTATATGACATCGTAACAACAGTCTGGACCACTGGACGGGTTCCGCAGGATTGGAAGGATGCCCTGGTGGTCCCGCTTTTTAAGAAGGGGGACCACACAGACTGTAACAACTACAAGGGCATCTCACTCCTCAGTGTGCCGGGAAAGGTCCTGGGAAGGATTATTCAACATCGCCTTGCCAGGCACGCTGAGGAGAGGCTTGCGGAGCCCCAATGCGGTTTCAGGAAAGGGCGGTCCTGCACAGATGCCATATTTTTTGTCCGTCTGCTACAGCAGAGGTGTAGGGAATTCCAACAAGACCTACATCTCTGCTTTATTGACCTGGTCAAGGCCAATGATACCATCAGTAGGCCTGGGCTCTGGGTTGTTCTTCGTGCTTTTGGAGTACCTGACCCTCTGCTCACGATCATTAAGGACCTTCATGATGGTGAGTGGGCCCGGGTAAAACTACGTGGCCGGGAGTCAGAGCCATTCCCTGTACACCTTGGGGTGCGACAGGGATGTCCTCCGGCTCCCACTTTATTTAACATCTATTTTGACCACGTAGTTCGTGAAGCCTTCAATAGCTTTACCGGGGGAATCTCCATATGGTACAGATATAATGGGAGGCTGATCGATGCCCGGGTGTGGTCAAGGGATGGCTCCCTATTGCTCAACCACGTTATGTATGCCGATGATTTGGTAATAGCTGCTCATTCAGAGGAGGAGTTGGAGATGCTGCTGCTGAGACTGGAGCGTGCCACTAAGAGGTGGGGCCTTACCATCAGCCCCACCAAAACTAAGCACCTGCCTGGGTATTTTGTACCATCGGACACTCCACCCCCACAACTCCCCATTGGTGATGGGGCAGTTGTGGAGCGAGTGGAAAGTTTCCCATACCTGGGCAGTGTGCTTATGTCCGGCTCCAGTTTAACAGCAGAGGTCTCACTCCAAATCAGTCGAGCGGCAATATATTTTCATCGGTTGCATAACGCTGTGTGGAAGCTACCTGGTCTGTCGCTCTACACTAAGCTTCAGGTCTTCTCGGCCACGGTCATTCCCTCCCTTCTCTACGCTTGCGAAACGTGGACCCCCCTAATGGAGCATCTTCGCCGGTTAGAAACATTTAGGCTGGCCTGCCTACGATCCATCCTGGGTTTAACCAGACCGGATTGTGTGAGGAGCTCACAAATCCTTGAAAGATCTGGGCAAGGTCCCATCGGTGAGCTCCTCCGGCGGGCAAGGCTGCGATGGCTGGGTCATACAGCCCGCATGCCCAGCCACCGCATGGCGAAACAGCTTTTGTTCGGCCGGATTGAGGGGGCTAAGCGGGCGCGGCACAGGCTAGAGAAGAGATGGAGTGATGTGGTACAGGAGGACGTGGAGCTGAGTGGACTTGCCGATGACTGGTACCAGCGGTGTCAAGATCGGCCTCTGTGGAGGAGGCTCGTGAAGGACGCTACTGGGCAGTTGGAGGTAGTCGCCCTCCAACAACAATTGAGGGTGGAGGAGCGACGCTCACAACAACGAGCGGAGCGCTGGGTGGCTAAAGCACAGCAGGTTGGCACAGCAGGGGGCACAGATGGTGCATCAGCCAGTCATCTCAGTCATCTCTGTCAGTCGACCCGTGGCACCTGGGTCTGCTCCGTGACCTCCTGCCAGCGGGCGTTTGACACTTCACGTGGCCTCAGGGTGCACATAGCCTGGCACAAGCGTCGTGGTGACATCACCGCCAATTAGTGGTGAATGGCGGTTGTTGTTGTTGGGGGGTGAGGAGTGTTGTGGGGTGAGTGTTGTGGGGTGAGTGGCGACGATGACAATGGCTACGTCGCGGAGGGAGCGACGAATCTGGGTCTCTATCCCTCCCCGTTGCGTCGCGCGCCGCGGTGGCTAGGAGATGTCAACTCCCTCGCCCGGTATACGAGAGGTCGTGGGGTTCCATTGCGACTCTGAAGCCTGCTGTATGTAGATTTGGAGTCTGCGCGTGTGTCTCTCGCTGCGATTAACGTCCACGCGACAGCCACTTTGCTGAGCTATCATTAGTGGCCGGGTCGCTTCTGCGAAGGAACTGCAGAGTTCAGCTGGGCCTCGTCTGGTATGATACAACAAATTGTAGTTAAGTAGTAGCAGTCGCTTGCTCTCGCTCTCTGTCCAGTGTACTGCCTCTGGCACATACTCGTGGGGTTCATCGTGGACGAGTCGGAGACGCTGAGCCTCCCCCACCTCCCTCTCTCACCTACCTCTCTCTGTCATCTCTCTCCTTTCTCTCTCCCCTACCTCTCTCTCTCCTCTCCTCCCTCGCCCCTCTCAGCTACATCGCGGCCACGGACCACGAACCCACGGACGCGCGCAAGTCCTTCCCGTGCCTGGACGAGCCCGACAGGAAGGCGACATTCACGGTGACGCTCTCCTACCCCAGGGAGTACTCGGCGCTCTCCAACATGCCGCCAGAGGTAGTCGCCCGCTCGCTCACTCACTCGCCCATTCACTTGCTTGCTCACACACTCACTCACCCACCCATCCGTTCACTCACTCGCCCACTCGCTCACTCACTCGCCCGTTCACTTGCTCACACACTCACTCGCTCAACCGTTCACTCACTCGCCCGCTCGCTCACTCACTCGCCCATTCACTTGCTTGCTCACTCACTCGCTCAACCGTTCACTCACTCGCCCACTCGCTCACTCACTCGCCCGTTCACTTGCTTGCTCACTCACTCGCTTAACCGTTCACTCACTCGCCCACTCACTCGCCCACTCACTCGCCCGTTCACTTGCTCACACACTCACTCGCTCAACCGTTCATTCACTCGCCCACTTACTCGTCCACTCACTCGCCCATTCACTTGCTCGCTCACTCACTCGCTCAACCATTCACTCGCCCACTCGCTCACTCACTCGCCCGTTCACTTGCTGGCTCACTCGTTTAACCGTTCACTCACTCACCCGCTCGCTCACTCACTCGCCCGCCCGTTCACTTGCTCACTCGCTCAACCGTTCACTCACTCGCCCACTCGCTCACTCACTTGCCCGTTCACTTGCTGGCTCACTCGTTTAACCGTTCACTCACTCACCCGCTCGCTCACTCACTCGCCCGTTCACTTGCTCACTCGCTCAACCGTTCACTCACTCGCCCACTCGCTCACTCACTTGCCCGTTCACTTGCTGGCTCACTCGTTTAACCGTTCACTCACTCGCCCGCTCGCTCACTCACTCGCCCATTCACTTGCTTGTTCACTCACTCGCCCACTCGCCCACTCGCTCACTCACTCGCTAACGCACTCGCCCACTCGCTCACTCACTCGCTAACTCACACGCTCACTCACACGCTTGCCCACTCACTCTCTCGCTTACCTGGTCGCCCACTCGCCTTTTTGCTCATTCACTGCACGCACGGACAGACAGACCCAGGTGCCATGGGTTGACTGACTGAGACGATCGGCAGATACACCAACGGTGCTCACCACTTTGCTGATCGTTGTGAGGATCGCTCCTCTGCCCTCCGTTGTAGCTGGAGGGCAATTGCCTCCAACTGCTCAGTCGGTAGCGTCCTTCACCACCATCCTCCTCCAAAGAGGCCGACTTTTACACTTCTGATACCGGTCATCGGCAAATCCACTCAGCTCCACATCTCCCTGTAGCGCATCAGTCCATCGCTTCCGCTAGCCCACTCACCCATGCACTCACTCACTCACCCACTCACTCAACCACTCACTCACCGACTCACTCATCCATCCACTCACCCACTCACTCAACTACACACTCATTCATGCACTCACCCATCCACTCACTCACCCATCCACTCACTCACCCATCCACTCACTCAACCACTCACTCAGTCATGCACCCACCCAACCACTCACTCACCCAACCACTCACTCACCCACTCACTCAGCGACTCACTCACTCACCCATGCACTCACCCATCCACTCACTCAACGACTCACTCACCCATGCACTCACCCATCCACTCACTCACCCACTCACTCAACGACTCCCTCACCCATGCACTCACCCATCCACTCACTCACCCACTCACTCACTCACCCATCCACTCACTCAATCACTCACTCAGTCATGCACTCACCCAACCACTCACTCACCCAACCACTCACTCACCCACTCACTCAGCGACTCACTCACTCACCCATGCACTCACCTATCCACTCACTCACCCACTCACTCAACGACTCACTCACCCATGCACTCACCCATCCACTCACTCACCCACTCACTCAACGACTCACTCACCCATGCACTCACCCATCCACTCACTCACCCACTCACTCAACCACTCATTCATTTATGCACTCACCCATCCACTCACTCAACCACTCAACTACTCACTCACCCATGCACTCACCCATCCACTCGCTCAACGACTCACTCACCCATGCACTCACCCATCCACTTACTCATCCACTCACTCAACGACTCACTCACCCATGCACTCACCCATCCACTTACTCATCCACTCACTCAACGACTCACTCACCCATGCACTCACCCATCCACTCACCCATGAGTCTATCTTTTCTCCAGCCCGTGCCGTGCCCGTTTATCCCCCTCTGTCCCACCAAACGGTAGTTGCTTGGGAATGCGGTGGTTGGCAGAGTTTGGGATGGTGATGATTGTGATGATGATAGTGATGATTATGGTGATGATAGTAGTGATGATAGAGTAGTACTGGTGTTGATCGTAATGATCGTGGTGATAATTGTGATAATGATGATGGTCATGATGGTGGTGATGATGGTGATTATGATGGTTATGATGGTGATGATGGTCATGATGGTGATTATGACAATGGTGGTGATGATGATGATGTCAATGATCGTGGTGATGATGGTGATGATGATGGTGATGATGATGGTGCTGATTGTGGTGATCATGGTGATGATGATGGTGATGATGGCCCTGATGGTGATGATGGCCCTGATGGTGATGAAGATGGTCATGATGGTGATGATGGTCATGATGGTGATTATGACAATGGTGGTGATGATGATGATGATGTCAATGATCGTGGTGATGATGGTGATGATGATGATGATGGTGTTGATTGTGGTGATCATGGTGATGATGATGATGGCCCTGATGGTGATGATGGCCCTGATGGTGATGAAGATGGTCATGATGGTGATGATGGTCATGATGGTGATTATGACAATGGTGGTGATGATGATGATGTCAATGATCGTGGTGATGATGGTGATGATTGTGGTGATCATGGTGATGATGATGGTGATGATGGCCCTGATGGTGATGATGGCCCTGATGGTGATGATGATGATGGTGATGATGGCCCTCATGGTGATGATGGCCCTGATGGTGATGAAGATGGTGATGATGGTGATGATGGTGATGATGATGGCCCTGATGGTGATGATGATGGTGATGATGGTGGTGATGGTGATGATGATGGTGATGATGATGGCCCTGATGGTGATGATGATGGTGATGATGGTGATGATGATGGTGATGATGATGGTGGTGATGGTGATGATGATGGTGATTGCCCTGATGGTGATGATGATGGTGATGATGATGGTGATGATGGTGATGATGATGGTGATGATGGTGATGATGATGGTGATGATGATGGTGATGATGGTGGTGATGATGATGATGGTGATGATGATGATGGTGATGATGATGATGGTGATGATGGTGATGATGATGATGGTGATGATGATGGTGATGATGGTGATGATGATGGTGATGATGATGGTGATGATGATGATGGTGATGATGATGGTGATGATGATGGTGATGATGGTGGTGATGATGATGGTGATGATGATGATGGTGATGATGATGGTGATGATGATGATGATGGTGATGATGATGATGGTGATGATGATGATGGTGATGATGGTGATGATGGTGATGATGATGATGGTGATGATGATGGTGATGATGATGATGGTGATGATGATGATGATGGTGGTGATGATGATGATGGTGATGATGGTGATGATGATGATGGTGATGATGATGGTGATGATGATGGTGATGTAGGAGAATGGCACTCACAGCTCGGGGCTGCTCTGGACGAGGTTCGCGCGCTCTGTGCCGATGAGCACCTACCTCGTCTGCTTCGCCGTGCACCAGTTCATCTTCGTGGAGCGCACCTCGTCACGCGGTGTGCCGGTGAGACGGGGGGACGCACGCAGAGAGACACGGGGACACGTGGACAGACACGGGGACACGTGGACAGACACGGGGACACGTGGAGAGACACGGGGACACGGGGAGAGACACGGGGACACACGCGGAGAGACACGGGGACACGTGGACAGACACGGGGACACGTGGAGAGACACGGGGACACGTGGAGAGACACGGGGACGCACGCAGAGAGACACGGGGACACGTGGACAGACACGGGGACACACGCAGAGAGACACGGGGACACGTGGAGAGACACGGGGACACGTGGAGAGACACGGAGACACGCGGGGAGACACGGGGACACACGCGGAGAGACACGGGGACACGTGGAGAGACACGGGGACACACGCGGAGAGACACGGAGACACGTGGAGAGACACGGGGACACACGCGGAGAGACACGGAGACACGCGGAGAGACACGGGGACGCACGCAGAGAGACACGGGGACACGTGGACAGACACGGGGACACACGCGGAGAGACACGGAGACACGCGGGGAGACACTGAGACACGTGGAGAGACACGGACACGCTTAGAGAGACACGGAGACACGTGGAGAGACACCGAGACACGCATAGAGAGACACGGGGACACACGCAGAGAGACATGGAGACACGTGGAGAGACACTGAGACACACGCAGAGACACACGCAGAGACACAGAGACACATGCAGAGACACGGAGACACACGCGGAGAGACACGGAGACACGCGGAGAGACCCTGAGACACGCATAGAGAGACACCGCGACACGCATGGAGAGACACGGGGACACATGCAGAGAGACACGGGGACGCGCGCAGAGAGACACGGAGACACATGCAGAGAGACACTGAGATACGCGCAGAGAGACACTGAGACACGCGCAGAGAGACACGGAGACACGCGGAGAGACACGGGGACGCATGCAGAGAGACACTGAGACACGCATAGAGAGACACCGCGACACGCATGGAGAGACACGGGGACACATTCAGAGAGACACGGGGACGGGCGCAGAGAGACACGGAAACACGCAGAGAGACACCGAGACACATGCAGAGAGACACGGAGACACGTGGAGAGACACCGAGACACGTGGAGAGACACGGGACACGCATAGAGAGACACCGAGACACGCGGAGAGACACGGAGACACGCGCGGAGAGACATCGGAGACGCACGCATAGAGAGACACCGAGACACGCGGAGAGACACGGAGACACGCATAGAGAGACACCGAGACACGCGCAGAGACACGGAGACACGCGCGGAGAGACACGGAGACACACGCATAGAGAGACACCGAGACAGGCGGAGAGCCACGGAGACACGCGGAGAGAGACACGGAGACACGTGGAGAGACACGGAGACACACGCATAGAGAGACACCGAGACACGTGGAGAGACACGGGGACACGCATAGAGAGACACCGAGACACGCGCAGAGACACGGAGACACGCGCGGAGAGACACGGAGACACACGCATAGAGAGACACCGAGAGAGGCGGAGAGACACGGAGACACGCGGAGAGAGACACGGAGACACGTGGAGAGACACGGAGACACACGCATAGAGAGACACCGAGACACGTGGAGAGAGACACGGAGACACGTGGAGAGACATGGAGACACGCGGAGAGAGAGACACGGGGACACGTGGAGAGAGACACGGAGACACGTGGAGAGACACCGAGACACATGCATAGAGCCACCGAGACACGCATAGAGAGACACCGAGACACGCGGAGAGACACGGAGACACGCGGAGAGAGACACGGGGACACGTGGAGAGACACGGAGACACGCGGAGAGACACGGAGACACGCGGAGAGAGACACGGAGACACGCAGAGAGACACGGAGACACGCGGAGAGAGACACCGCGACACGCATGGAGAGAGACACGGGGACACGTGGAGAGAGACACGGAGACACGTGGAGAGACACCGAGACACATGCATAGAGCCACCGAGACACGCATAGAGAGACACCGAGACACGTGGAGAGACACGGGACACGCATAGAGAGACACCGAGAAACGCGGAGAGACACGGAGACACGCGCGGAGAGACATCGGAGACGCACGCATAGAGAGACACCGAGACACGCGGAGAGACACGGAGACACGCATAGAGAGACACCGAGACACGCGCAGAGACACGGAGACACGCGCGGAGAGACACGGAGACACACGCATAGAGAGACACCGAGACAGGCGGAGAGACACGGAGACACGCGGAGAGAGACACGGAGACACGTGGAGAGACACGGAGACACACGCATAGAGAGACACCGAGACACGTGGAGAGACACGGGGACACGCATAGAGAGACACCGAGACACGCGCAGAGACACGGAGACACGCGCGGAGAGACACGGAGACACACGCATAGAGAGACACCGAGACAGGCGGAGAGACACGGAGACACGCAGAGAGAGACACGGAGACACGTGGAGAGACACGGAGACACACGCATAGAGAGACACCGAGACACGTGGAGAGAGACACGGAGACACGTGGAGAGACATGGAGACACGCGGAGAGAGACACGGGGACACGTGGAGAGAGTCACGGAGACACGTGGAGAGACACCGAGACACATGCATAGAGCCACCGAGACACGCATAGAGAGACACCGAGACACGCGGAGAGACACGGAGACACGCGCGGAGAGACATCGGAGACGCACGCATAGAGAGACACCGAGACACGCGGAGAGACACGGAGACACGCATAGAGAGACACCGAGACACGCGCAGAGACACGGAGACACGCGCGGAGAGACACGGAGACACACGCATAGAGAGACACCGAGACAGGCGGAGAGACACGGAGACACGCGGAGAGAGACACGGAGACACGTGGAGAGACACGGAGACACACGCATAGAGAGACACCGAGACACGTGGAGAGACACGGGACACGCATAGAGAGACACTGAGACACGCGGAGAGACACGGAGACACGCGCGGAGAGACATCGGAGACGCACGCATAGAGAGACACCGAAACACGCGGAGAGACACGGAGACACGCATAGAGAGACACCGAGACACGCGCAGAGACACGGAGACACGCGCGGAGAGACACGGAGACACACGCATAGAGAGACACCGAGACAGGCGGAGAGACACGGAGACACGCGGAGAGAGACACGGAGACACGTGGAGAGACACGGAGACACACGCATAGAGAGACACCGAGACACGTGGAGAGACACGGGGACACGCATAGAGAGACACCGAGACACGCGCAGAGACACGGAGACACGCGCGGAGAGACACGGAGACACACGCATAGAGAGACACCGAGACAGGCGGAGAGACACGGAGACACGCGGAGAGAGACACGGAGACACGTGGAGAGACACGGAGACACACGCATAGAGAGACACCGAGACACGTGGAGAGAGACACGGAGACACGTGGAGAGACATGGAGACACGCGGAGAGAGACACGGGGACACGTGGAGAGAGACACGGAGACACGTGGAGAGACACCGAGACACATGCATAGAGCCACCGAGACACGCATAGAGAGACACCGAGACACGCGGAGAGACACGGAGACACGCGGAGAGAGACACGGGGACACGTGGAGAGACACGGAGACACGCGGAGAGACACGGAGACACGCGGAGAGAGACACGGAGACACGCAGAGAGACACGGAGACACGCGGAGAGAGACACCGCGACACGCATGGAGAGAGACACGGGGACACGTGGAGAGAGACACGGAGACACGTGGAGAGACACCGAGACACATGCATAGAGCCACCGAGACACGCATAGAGAGACACCGAGACACGTGGAGAGACACGGGACACGCATAGAGAGACACCGAGACACGCGGAGAGACACGGAGACACGCGCGGAGAGACATCGGAGACGCACGCATAGAGAGACACCGAGACACGCGGAGAGACACGGAGACACGCATAGAGAGACACCGAGACACGCGCAGAGACACGGAGACACGCGCGGAGAGACACGGAGACACACGCATAGAGAGACACCGAGACAGGCGGAGAGACACGGAGACACGCGGAGAGAGACACGGAGACACGTGGAGAGACACGGAGACACACGCATAGGGAGACACCGAGACACGTGGAGAGACACGGGGACACGCATAGAGAGACACCGAGACACGCGCAGAGACACGGAGACACGCGCGGAGAGACACGGAGACACACGCATAGAGAGACACCGAGACAGGCGGAGAGACACGGAGACACGCGGAGAGAGACACGGAGACACGTGGAGAGACACGGAGACACACGCATAGAGAGACACCGAGACACGTGGAGAGAGACACGGAGACACGTGGAGAGACATGGAGACACGCGGAGAGAGACACGGGGACACGTGGAGAGAGACACGGAGACACGTGGAGAGACACCGAGACACATGCATAGAGCCACCGAGACACGCATGGAGAGACACCGAGACACGCGGAGAGACACGGAGACACGCGGAGAGAGACACGGGGACACGTGGAGAGACACGGAGACACGCGGAGAGACACGGAGACACGCGGAGAGAGACACGGAGACACGCAGAGAGACACGGAGACACGCGGAGAGAGACACCGCGACGCGCATGGAGAGAGACACGGGGACACGTGGAGAGAGACACGGAGACACATGCAGAGAGACACGGAGACACGCGCGGAGAGACACGGGGACACGTGGAGAGAGACACCGAGACACGCGCGGAGAGACAGGGAGACACGTGGAGAGACACTGAGACACATGCATAGAGACACGGAGACACGCATAGAGAGACACCGAGACACGCGGAGAGACACGGAGACACGCATAGAGAAACACCGAGACACGTGGAGAGAGACACGGAGACACGCGGAGAGACACGGGGACACGTGGAGAGAGACACGGAGACACGTGGAGAGAGACACGGGGACACGTGGAGAGACACGGAGACACGCGGAGAGACACGGAGACACGCGGAGAGAGACACGGAGACACGCAGAGAGACACGGAGACACGCGGAGAGAGACACCGCGACACGCATGGAGAGAGACACGGGGACACGTGGAGAGAGACACGGAGACACGTGGAGAGACACGGAGACACGTGGAGAGAGACACGGAGACACGTGGAGAGACACGGAGACACGCGGAGAGACACGGAGACACGCATAGAGAGACACGGAGACACGTGGAGAGAGACACGGGGACACGTGGAGAGACACGGAGACACGTGGAGAGAGACACGGGGACACTCTCACACACGTGAGTTGATGATTACCTTGCGATATCTCTTAATGGGGCTCATTTCAGTCGGGTTCATGGAGGATCGAGTGGCCCTGCAGGTAGATAACAGCCACGCGGGGCGCGTGTGTGTGTGTACGCGTGTGTGTGTGTGCACGCGCGTGTGTGTGTGTGCACGCGCGTGTGTGTGTGTGCACGCGCGTGTGTGTGTGTGCACGCGCGTGTGTGTGTGTGCACGCGCGTGTGTGTGTGTGCACGCGCGTGTGTGTGTGTGCACGCGCGTGTGTGTGTGTGCACGCGTGTGTGTGTGTACGCGCGTGTATGCGTGTGTGTACGTGTGCGTGTGTGTACGCGTGTGTGTGTGTACGCGCGTGTGCGTGTGTACGCGTGTGTGTGTGTACATGTGTGTGTGCGTGTGTGCGCGCGTGCGTGGGGAGCGGTAGTGTAGTGGTTAGCGCAACGCTGTGCTAAGAACCCGGCGACCCGGGTTCGATTCCCGCTCACGGCCAACACCAGTGGCGATTATATGAACCGGTCCTGGGCCTCCCCTAGGTCGACTCGGCCTCAAATGAGTACCTGATGCGGTGTGTAAACATCGTCACTGGGGAAACAAAGGCGGTCGGGCGTGGTGCTGGCCATCTATCACCTCGGGTACCGTTCCGGCCTTGATAGGCGCTCGCTAACAGCACTTGCCCCTACAGTCTGTTAAGGCTATATGGGGGATCTTTGTCTTTGTGTATGCGCGTGCGTGCGTGTGTACGTACTAAGCACCTGCCTGGGTACTTTGTACCATCGGACACTGCACCTTGGTGATGGGGCAGTTGTGGAGAGAGTGGAGAGTTTCCCATACCTGGGCAGTGTGCTTATGACCGGCTCCAGTTTAACAGCAGAGGTCTCACTCCGAATCAGTCGAGTGGCAATATCTTTTCATCGGTTGCGTAACGCTGTGTGGAAGCTACCTGGTCTGTCGCTCCGCACTAAGCTTCAGGTCTTCTCGGCCACGGTCATTCCTCCTCCCTTCTCTACGCTTGCGAAACGTGGACCCCCCTAATGGAACATCTTCGCCGGTTAGAAACATTTAGGCTGGCCTGCCTACGGGCAGTTGGAGGCAGTCGCCCTCCAACAACAACGGAGGGCAGAGGAGCGACGCTCACAACAACAAGCGGAGCGTCGGGTGGCTAAAGCACAGCGAGTTGACACAGTAGGGGGCACAGGTGGTGCATCAGCCACTCATCTCAGTCAGTCGACCCGTGGCACCTGCTGGGTCTGCCCCGTGACCTCCTGCCAGCGGGCGTTCGACACTTCACGTGGCCTCAGGGTGCACATAGCCTGGCACAAGCGTCGTGGTGACATCACCACCACTTAGTGGCGTATGGCGGCTGTTGTGTATGTGTACCTGTGTGTGGACGTGCGCGTGTACGCTCCCGCGCGTGTGTGTGTGTGTACGCGAGCGTACCCGAGTTCAATTCCCGCTCACGGCCAACACCAATGACGATCAACTGAACCGGTCCTGGGCCTCCCCTAGGCCGACTCAGCCGCGAATGACCGCCTGATGCGATGCGTAAACATCGCCACTGGGGAGACGAAGGCGGCCGGGTTTGGTGCTGGCCGGCCACCCACCCACCCCCCCTCGTGTAGCGGAAGCCAAACAGTGCGTAGCCAACGCCGTGCCCGGCCGCCTTTGTCTCACCAGCAGCAATGTTCGCGCATCACTCCAGGCACTCATTTAAGGCCGAGCCGACCTGCGGGAAGCCCAGCAGCCAGCAGCGGTTCCGGTGCTCGCCGCTAGCGACCGTAGCCACGAGCCTTGACTCGGGCCGCCGGATTTCGCGGCGCATGCGCAACTAACCACTGCACCACCGCTCCCTCCCCCCCCAAAAAAACAAAGACAAAGATCCCCCATATAGCCTTAACAGACTGTAGGGGCAAGTGCTGTTAGCGAGCAGCACCTATGAAGGCCGGAACGGTACACACGAGGGGGTGGGTGGCCAGCACCACGCCCGACCGCCTTTGTCTCCCCAGTGGCGATGTTTACACACCGCACCAGGTACTCATTTGATGCTGAGTCGACCTAGGGGAGGCCCGGGACCGGTTCAGAAAATCGTCACTGGTGTTGGCCGTGAGCGGGAATCGAACCCGGGTCGCCGGGTTCATAGCGCAGCGTAGCGCTAACCGCTACACCATCGCTCCCCACCACACACAGACACAGATACACACACACAGACACACGCGCGCGTACAGACACGCGGAAAATAAGCAAAAGTATCCCCCACGTGCAGTCCCACACCCAAACAGCAGGAGGTGGGAGCCGTGGGGTTGGGGTTCCTGACGCTTGGTCGACTGGTGATCTATTTTACCTTACCAGGTAAAGCCCTCGCTGAGCTGTGCGGCGACCTGGGCCACCACAAACGATAGCTCGACGAAGGGGGCTTATCACGTGGACATAGCATAGCAGTAGGCAAATAGTACTGCTATTAAAAAATATATATATATATACATAACAGGCGTCAGGGTCGTGGTTGGGATCGAACCCAGGACCTCCTGTGCACCAGGCGAGATAGTTAACATCTCGCCCCCCCCCCTCTCCCCCGTGGCCCCCCAGCTCCGCGTGTACGTTCAGGAGGAGCAGGAGGTGACGGCCCAGTTTGCTGCGAACGCAACCCTCGTGATCTTCGACTACTTTGAGAGCTACTTCGGCATGAACTACTCGCTACCCAAGCTGGGTGCGGTGACGCACGGCCACTCAGGCAGCGGGCCACTCGGCGGGCGAGGCCATTAGCGAGCGAACCAATCAGGGTGTGAGTCTATCGGTGAGCGAGCCCATCGGTGAGCGAGCCAATCGGTGAGCGAGCCAAATCGGAGAGCGAGCCAATCGGTGAGCGAGTCAATCGGAGAGCGAGCCAATTGGTGAGCGAGCCAATCGGTGAGCGAGCCCATCGGAGAGCGAGCCAATCGGTGACCGAGCCCATCGGTGAGCGAGCCAATCGGTGAGCGAGCCAATAGGTGAGCGAGCCAATCGGAGAGCGAGCCAATCGGTGAGCGAGCCAATCGGTGAGCGAGCCAATCGGTGAGCGAGCCCATCGGTGAGCGAGCCCATCGGTGAGCGAGCCAATCGGAGAGCGAGCCAATCGGAGAGCGAGCCAATCGGAGAGCGAGCCAATCGGAGAGCGAGCCAATCGGAGAGCGAGCCAATCGGAGAGCGAGCCAATCGGAGAGCGAGCCAATTGGTGAGTGAGCCTACAAGTGGGTGGACGCGTGTGTGTATATGTGTGAGCGGGATTCAAGGTTCGTAGCACATTGCGCTAACCAATGCACCACCGCTCCACACACACACAACACAGATCCCCGTATAGCCTCAATAGACTTTTGAGGCAAGTGGTGTTAGCGAGCACTTGCACACACACACGTGTACACACTCACTCCACGTGTACTTACCCCACGTGTACTCACCCCCACGCATACCAACACTCCCACGTACACACACGTGTACCCATACTCCCACGTACACACACGTCACCCACCACACGTCCACGTACACACACGTCACTCATCACACTTCCACGTACACACACGTCACCCACCACACTCCCACGTACACACACGTGTACCCACACTCCCACGTACACATACGTCACCCACCACACTCTCACGTACACACACGTCTACCCACCACACTCCCACGTACACACACGTGTACTCACACTCCCACGTACACACACGTCACCCACCACACTCCCACGTACACACACGTGTACCACCACACTCCCACGTACACACACGTCAGCCACCACACTCCCACGTACACACACGTGTACTCACCACACTCCCACGTACACACACGTCACTCACCACACTCCCACATACACACACGTGTACCACCACACTCCCACATACACACACGTCTACCCACCACACTCCCACGTACACACACGTGTACTCACCCCCACACGTGTACTCACCTCCCCACGTGCACTCAGACCAGATCGCGATCCCGGACTTTGGGACGGGCGCCATGGAGAACTGGGGACTGATCACGTACCGCGAGACCAACCTCCTCTACGATCCCCGCGAGTCATCCTCCTTCAACCAGCAGCGCGTGGCAGCAGTCGTGGCACACGAACTCACGCACCAGGTGGGGGGCGCCCCCCACCACCACCACCGCCACTCAACCACCACCACCAGCCCACCACTACCCCCCCACCACCACCACCACCACTACCCCAACACCAACACCACCACTCCACCACCACTACCCCCCCCACCACCACCACTCAACCACCACCGCCCCTCTACCACCACCACCACCAGCCCACCACTACCCCAACACCACCACCACTACCCCACTAATCATGGACCCCCACGGGGGACTGAAAGGACCCCCGTGGGGGGCTGGAGGGCCCCCCGTGGGGGACTGAGAGGACCCCCGTGGGGGACTGAGAGGACCCCCGTGGGGGGCTGAAAGGACCCCCGTGGGGGGCTGGAGGGACCCCCGTGGGGGGCTGAAAGGACCCCCGTGGGGGACTCAAAGGACCCCCGTGGGGGACTGAGAGGACCCCCGTGGGGGGCTGGAGGGACCCCCGTGGGGGACTGAAAGGACCCCGGTGGGGGACTGAGAGGACCCCCGTGGGGGACTGAGAGGACCCCCGTGGGGGGCTGAAAGGACCCCCGTGGGGGGCTGGAGGGCCCCCCGTGGGGGCCTGAGAGGACCCCCGTGGGGGACTGAGAGGACCCCCGTGGGGGACTGAGAGGACCCCCGTGGGGGGCTGAAAGGACCCCCGTGGGGGGCTGGAGGGCCCCCCGTGGGGGACTGAGAGGACCCCCGTGGGGGACTGAGAGGACCCCCGTGGGGGACTGTGAGGACCCCCGTGGGGGGCTGGAGGGACCCCCGTGGGGGACTGAAAGGACCCCCGTGGGGGGCTGAAAGGACCCCCGTGGGGGACTCAAAGGACCCCCGTGGGGGGCTGAGAGGACCCCCGTGGGGGGCTGGAGGGACCCCCGTGGGGGTGGCTCCGTGTGGAGGATGGATCTTGGTGGCCGCTCTGTCCCGGCGCTGACAGCACCGCAGCTGCAGAGCGACCACGGCTCCAACTGGACACCACCCCCGTGCCCCCTGCCCCCTGCCCCGTGCCCCCTCCTGCCCGCCCCGTAGCTGTACGGCCCCTGACCGGCTACCCCCTGCCCCCTGCCCCCTGCCCCGTGCCCCCTGCCCTAGTGGTTCGGCAACATCGTGACGATGGAGTGGTGGGACGACCTGTGGCTCCTGCCCCGTGCCCCCTGCCCCCTGCCCACCTGCCCCCTGCCCCGTGCCCCCTGCCCTAGTGGTTCGGCAACATCGTGACGATGGAGTGGTGGGACGACCTGTGGCTCAATGAGGGGTTCGCCAGCTACTTTGAGTTCCTGGGAGTGCACAGCTTCCTGCCAGAGTGGAGGATGGTGAGGTGACACTCACACTCACAATCTCACACTCACTCACACTCACTCACACTCACTCTCATTCTCACTCACTCTCATTCTCACTCACTTACTCACTCTCACACCCTCACACTCACTCACACTCACTCTCACACTCTCTCTTACACTCACACTCTCACACTCACTCTCACACTCACACACTCACACTCACTCTCACACACTCTCACACTCTCTCTTACACTCACACTCTCACACTCACTCACACTCTCACAGTCACTCTCACACTCACTCACACTCACCCCACACTCACTCTCACACTCACACACTCACTCTCACACTCACACACTCACTCTCACACTCTCACACTCTCACACTCTCGCTCACACTTACACTCTCTCTCACACTCACTCTCACACTCACTCTCACACTCACTCTCACACTCACTCTCACACTCACTCTCACACTCACTCTCACTCACTCTCATTCTCACTCACTTACTCACACTCACAATCTCACACTCACAATCTCACACTCACAATCTCACACTCACAATCTCACACTCACACTCACCCACTCACACTCACTCTCACACTCACTCGCTCACCCTCTCACACCCTCACTCACTCTCACACTCACTCACACTCTCACCCTCTCACTCACTCTCACACTCACTCACTCGCTCACCCTCTCACACTCACTACTTGAGGACTGCTCTTTGTGTTTAGTTTGTTGACCTTCCTCTGCACCTCGTGCGCACGGTGAGAAAGAAGTTCGCCTGCCACCACGTCACCCCCCTCCTCCTCCTCCTCCTCCCCCTCCTCCTCCTCCTCCTCCTCCCCCTCTTCCACCCCCTCCTCCTCCCCCTCCTCCTCCTCCTCCTCCTCCTCCTCCCCCCCTCCTCCTCCTCTCCCTCCTCCTCCCCCCCTCCTCCCCCCCTCCTTCCCCTCCTCCTCCCCCCCCTCCTCCCCCCTCCTCCTCTTCCCCCCCTCCTCCCCCCCCTCCTCCCCCTCCTCCCCTCCTCCTCCCCCCCTCCCACACTCTCCTCCCCCTCCCCCTCCGCGCCCACAGATGGACTACATCATGATCGACGACGTGATGCCGGTGATGGGCGACGACGCGCTCACCTCCTCACACGCCATCATCGTGAACGTCACCACGCCCAGCGAGATCACCGCCGTCTTCGACTCCATCTCCTACAGCAAGGTCCCCCCCACCACCCCCTGTCGAGCCCCCCACCCCCCCACCCCCCACCCCCCCACACCCCACCCCCCACACCCCTGCCCCACCCCCCACCCCCCACCCCCCACCCCCCACACCCCTCTCCCACCCCCCACCCCCACCCTTCACCCCACTCCCCCCACCCCCCACCCCCTGTCGAGCCCCCCACCCCCCACCCCTCACACCCCTCCCCACCCCCCACCCCTCACACCCCTCCCCCACCCTTCACCCCCCTCCCCCCACCCCCCCACCCCCCACCCCCCACCCCTCACACCCCACCCCCCACCCCTCACACCCCTCCCCACCCTTCACCCCCCACCCCCACCCCCACCCCCCACCCCACCCCCCACCCACACCCACACCCTCCACCCCCACCCCCCACCCCCCACCCCCCACCCACACCCCCCTCCCCCACCCTTCAACCCCCACCCCCACTCCTGCTGCTAATGTTGCCGATGATGCTGCTAATGATATCGATGATCATGCTGCTGATGATGCTGATGACGATGCTGATGACGATGATGACGATGCTAATGACGATGATGCTGATGACGATGCTAATGACACTGATGATGATGAGATGCTGCTAATGATGCTGCTGCTGATGCTGATGATGATGATGCTGATGACGATGCTAATGACACTGATGATGATGAGATGCTGCTAATGATGATGCTGCTGATGCTGATGATGATGCTGATGGCGACGCTAACGATGATGCTGGTTGCAGGGCGCGTCGCTGCTGCGGATGCTGTCAGACTGGATCGGGCAAGACACGTTCCAGCGGGGATGCCAGGTGCCTAGCACACGCACTGGCCCGCACGCGGATCCACTCAGACGTAAAAATCAAGAGCCGAGGAATCGTCACAACGCGCCGGCCTTCGTAGGCGCTGCTCGCGAACAGCACTTGCCCCCAACAGTCTGATCATGCTACACGGGGGATCTTTGTCTTTGTGTGTCGTGATGTCGGCCGTGGTGCAGAACTACCTGAGACATTTCTACTTCAGGAACGCGAAGACTGATGACTTCTGGGAGGCGATGGCTCAGGTAATGGTTCCACTTGTGCTCCTGCTGCTGATGATGCTATTGATGATGATGCTTCTGATGATGATGCTGATGATGCTGTTTATGATGATGATTAACGTGATGCTGACGATGCTACTGATGATGTAGGAGGGCGGTGAGTCCGTGAAGCAGGTGACTGATGATGATGCTGATGCTAATGATGGTGATGCTGATGCTGCTGAAGATGCTGCTACGGTTGATGATGCCGATGATGGTGGTCGTGATGATGATGATGGTGGTGGTGATGGTGATGGTGATGATGCTGATGCTGATGATGTTGGTGGTGGTGATAATGGCGATGATGTCTGTGATGGTGGTGGTGGTGGTGGTGATGGTGATGATGCTGATGGTGGTGATAATGGTGGTGGTGGTGGTGGTAGTGGTGATTATGGTGATGATGATGCTAATGATGCTGATGCTGGTGGTGGTGGTGATGATGATGGTGGTAGTGGTGATGATGATGATGATGGTGGTGGTGGTGATGATGGTGATGGTGGTGATAATGGTGGTGGTGGTGGTAGTGGTGATGATGGTGATGATGGTGATGGTGATGGTAATGATGCTGATGATGGTGGTGGTGATGATGGTGATGGTGGTGGTGGTGGTGGTGATGATGATGGTGGTGATGGTGATGATGCCGATGGTGATGGTGGTGATAATGGTGGTGGTGATGATGATGGTGATAATGGTGATGATGATGGTAATGATAATGATGCTGATGCTGATGGTGGTGGTGATGATGATGATGGTGATGATGGTGGTGGTAGTGGTGATGATGGTGATAATGGTGATGATGATGGTAATGATAATGATGCTGATGCTGGTGGTGGTGATGGTGGTGATAATGGTGGTGGTAGTGGTGATGATGGTGATGATGATGGTAATGATGCTGATGCTGATGGTGGTGGTGGTGATGATGATGGTGGTGGTGGTGATGGTGATGATGGTGATGATAATGGTGGTGGTAGTGGTGATGATGCTGATGCTGGTGGTGGTGGTGGTGATGATGATGATGGTGATGCTGATGGTGGTGGTGGTGGTGGTGATGATGATGATGGTGATGCTGATGGTGGTGGTGCCTGTGATGACGACGGTGACGACGGTGACGACGGCGACGACGGCGGTGTAGGTGAGCGGCCAGCCCGTGAAGGAGGTGATGGACACGTGGACCAGGCAGATGGGGCTGCCCCTCATCTCCCTGCGGGGGGGCGGTGGTGCCGTGGGGTTCTCCGTTGAGCAGCGGCGCTTCCTGCTCGACCCCGACGCCGACCCCCAGCAGCCCACGTCGCCCTTCCGGTGAGCGAGCTCGGTGCGGCCGTGGTCACCATGACGACGGTGCGGCCGTGGTCACCATGACGACGGTGCGGCCGTGGTCACCGTGACGACGGTGCGGCCGTGGTCACCATGACGATGGTGCGGCCGTGGTCACCATGACGACGGTGCGGCCGTGGTCACCGTGACGACGGTGCGGCCGTGGTCACCATGACGACGGTGCGGCCGTGGTCACCATGACGACGGTGCGGCCGTGGTCACCATGACGACGGTGCGGCCGTGGTCACGATGACGATGGTGCGGCCGTGGTCACCATGACGACTGTGCGGCCGTGGTCACCATGACGACGGTGCGGCCGTGGTCACGATGACGACGGTGCGGCCGTGGTCACGATGACGACGGTGCGGCCGTGGTCACCATGACGACGGTGCGGCCGTGGTCACCATGACGACGGTGCGGCCGTGGTCACGATGACGACGGTACGGCCGTGGTCACGATGACGACGGTGCGGCCGTGGTCACCATGACGACGGTGCGGCCGTGGTCACCATGACGACGGTGCGGCCGTGGTCACGATGACGACGGTGCGGCCGTGGTCACCATGACGACGGTGCGGCCGTGGTCACCGTGACGACGGTGCGGCCGTGGTCACCATGACGACGGTGCGGCGGTGCGGTTGGTTTGGCAGTGACGGTGCGCCAATGGTGGTGGTGATGGTGGTGGTGATGGTGGTGGTGATGGTGGTGGCGATGGTGGCGATGGTAATGAAGATGTGGCATTGATCATGGGGATGGTGGTGATGGTGATGATGGGAGTGGAAGTGATGGTGATGGGGGGTGGTGGTGGCGCTAATGAGGTCCGGCAAACACGACCCCCCTACCTCCTCGTGGTGCCGGGCGGCGACGCTGTGGTGGGCGGTGCCGTGGGTAGAGAGCCAATTTAGATTGGCCATTCCCTTCATGGCGTTAGTAACCACCACAGCGGCCACATGGGGCCCTCTGGACGGGTGCGAGGGGCTGGTAACCCCTCCACCTTCAATTAATTACCACTAAACCACGACGTGGTGTGGTACAGGAGGACGTGGAGCTGAGTGGACTTGCCGATGACTGGTACCAGCGGTGTCAAGATCGGCCTCTGTGGAGGAGGCTCGTGAAGGATGCTACTGGGCAGTTGGAGGCAGTCGCCCTCCAACAACAACGGAGGGCGGAGGAGCGACGCTCACAACAGCGAGCGGAGCGCCGGGTGGCTAAAGCACAGCGGGTTGGCACAGTAGGGGGCACAGGTGGTGCATCGCCCAGTCATCTCAGTCAGTCGACCCGTGGCACCTGGGTCTGCCCCGTGACCTCCTGCCAGCGGGCGTTAGACACTTCACGTGGCCTCAACGTGCACATAGCCTGGCACAAGCGTCGTGGTGACGTCACCGCCACTTAGTGGCGAATGGCGGTTGTTGTTGTTGTTGTGGTGCTAATGATGGTGGTGATGTGAGAAAGGTTATGACGATGATGACTAAAACATTGCTGATTATGATGATATTGCTGCTGATGATATTGCTGCTGCTGATGATGATATTGATCACGTGGCGCAGGTACACCTGGCATGTTCCGCTGAAGTTCTACACCAGCGCTAGCAACGTTCAAGACTTCCTGATGTTCAACATGACCCAGTCAGGTAAGGATCACGCTCTCCACGGTAACACCACTCTCTCACATTGACAGAGTTGCCCAGCACAGGCCACAAAAGCACGATTCCAAGTTGTGTGAGAAAGTAAGAGTGGATCTGTTACTTGAATTGAGCAGGCGGCTGGGTGGCTGGGATTGTGAGTGGGTGGGTGAGTGGGTGGGTGAGTGAGTGAGTGGGTGAGTGAGTGAGTGGGTGAGTGGGCGAGTGAGTGAGTGGGTGGGTGAGTGAGGGGGTGGGTGGGTGAGTGAGTGAGTGAGTGGGTGGGTGAGTGGGTGAGTGGGTGAGTGAGTGAGTGGGTGAGTGTGTGGGTGAGTGGTTGAGTGAGTGAGGGGGTGAGTGGGTGAGTGAGTGAGTGTGTGAGTGAGTGTGTGAGTGGGTGGGTGGGTGAGTGAGTGAGTGTGTGAGTGAGTGTGTGAGTGTGTGAGTGGGTGGGTGAGTGAGTGAGTGGGTGGGTGAGTGGGTGAGTGAGTGGGTGGGTGAGTGGGTGAGTGAGTGAGTGGGTGAGTGTGTGGGTGAGTGTGTGGGTGAGTGGTTGAGTGAGTGAGGGGGTGAGTGGGTGAGTGAATGAGGGAGTGGGTGACTTAGTGAGTGGGTGAGTGTGTGGGTGAGTGAGTGAGTTAGTAACCGACTGAGTAGCTAGGTGGGTGGGTGACTCGGTGAGTGAGTGGTTGGGTCAGTGAGTCACTTAGCGAGTGGGTGGGTGAATTAGTGAGAGAGTGAGTGACTAACTAAATTACTCAGTGAGTGGGTGACTCAGTGAGTGACTGGGCGACTGAGTGGGTGAGTGAGTGGGTGAGTGATTTGGTGACTCAGTGAGTAAGTGGGCGACTGAGTGGGTGAGTGGGCGACTGAGTGAGTGACTGAGTGGGTGACTCAGTGAGTGAGTGGTTGACTCAGTGAGTGAGTGAGCGACTGAGTGAGTGAGTGGGCGACTGAGTGAGTGACTGAGTGAGTGACTCAGTGAGTGACTCAGTGAGTGAGTGGGCGACTGAGCGACTGAGTGGGCGACTGAGTGAGTGACTGAGTGAGTTAGTGGGCAACTGAGTGAGTGCGTGGGCGACTGAGTGAGTGACTGAGTGAGTAACTCATTGAGTGAGTGGGCGACTGAGTGAGTGGGCGACTGAGTGACTGAGTGGGCGACTGAGTGAGTGACTGAGTGGGTGACTCAGTGAGTGAGTGGGTGACTCAGTGAGTGAGTGGGCGACTGAGTGAGTGAGTGGGCGACTGAGTGAGTGACTGAGTGAGTGACTCATTGAGTGAGTGGGCGACTGAGTGAGTGGGCGACTGAGTGAGTTAGTGGGCGACTGAGTGAGTTAGTGGGCGACTGAGTGAGTGAGTGGGCGACTGAGTGAGTTAGTGGGCGACTGAGTGAGTGAGTGGGCGACTGAGTGAGTGAGTGAGTAGGCGACTGAGTGAGTGGGCGACTGAGTGAGTTAGTGGGCGACTGAGTGAGTTAGTGGGCGACTGAGTGAGTGAGTGGGCGACTGAGTGAGTGAGTGAGTAGGCGACTGAGTGAGTGGGCGACTGAGTGAGTGGGCGACTGAGTGAGTGAGTGTCTGAGTGGGTGACTCAGTGAGTGAGTGGGCGACTGAGTGAGTGACTGAGTGAGTGGGCGACTGAGTGATTGAGTGGGCGACTGAGTGAGTGACTGGATGACTGAGTGAGTTAGTGGGCGACTGAGTGAATGACTGAGTGAGTGACTCAGTGAGTGAGTGATTGAGTGAGTGAGTGGGCGACTCAGTGAGTGAGTGGGCGACTGAGTGAGTGAGTGGGCGACTGAGTGAGTGACTGAGTGAGTGGGCGACTGAGTGAGTGGCTGAGTGAGTGGGCGACTGAGTGAGTGACTGAGTGAGTGACTCATTGAGTGAGTGACTGAGTGAGTGAGTGGGCGACTGACTGAGTGAGTGGGCGACTGAGTGAGTGAGTGAGTGGGCTACTGAGTGAGTGACTGAGTGAGTGACTGAGTGAGTGAGTGACTCAGTGAGTGAGTGGGCAACTGAGTGAGTGACTGAGTGACTGAGTGAGTGAATGATTGACTCAGTGAGTGGGCGACTGAGTGACTGAGTGGGCGACTGAGTGAGTGACTGAGTGAGTTAGTGAGCGACTGAGTGAGTGACTGAGTGAGTGACTAAGTGAGTGACTGAGTGACTCAGTGAGTGACTCAGTGAGTGAGTGGGCGACTGAGTGAGTGTCTGAGTGGGTTACTGAGTGAGTGAATTAGTGAGTGAGTGGGCGACTGAGTGAGTGAGTGGGCGACTGAGTGAGTGAGTGGGTGGCTCAGTGAGTGACTCAGTGAGTGACTGAGTGACTGAGGGAGTGACTGAGTGAATGAGTGGGCGACTGAGTGAGTGACTGAGTGAGCGACTGAGTGAGTGACTGAGTGAGTGAGTGGGCGACTGAGTGAGTGACTGAGTGGGCGACTGAGTGAGTGACTGAGTGAGTGACTGAGTGAGTGAGTGACTGAGTGAGTGGGTGACTCAGTGAGTGACTGAGTGACCGAGTGAGTGACTCAGTGAGTGAGTGAGTGTGTGACTGAGTGAGTGACTGAGTGGGTGACTGAGTGAGTGAGTGAGTGGATGACTCAGTGAGTGACTGAGTGAGTGACTGAGTGGGTGACTCAGTGAGTGACTGAGCGACTCAGTGAGTGACTCAGTAAGTGACTGAGTGACTCAGTGACTCAGTGACTCAGTGAGTGACTGAGTGATTGACTGAGTGAGTGACTGAGTGAGTGAATGAGTGAATCAGTGAGTGAGTGACTGAGTGACTGAGTGGGTGACTGAGTGAGTGACTGAGTGACTGAGTGAGTGACTGAGTGACTGAGTGAGTGAGTGACTGAGTGAGTGACTGAGTGAGTGACTGAGTGGGTGACTCAGTGAGTGACTCAGTGACTGACTGAGTGAGTGACTGAGTGATTGACTGAGTGATTGACTGAGTGACTCAGTGAGTGAGTGACTGAGTGACTGAGTGGGTTACTCAGTGAGTGACTGAGTGACTGAGTGAGTGACTGAGTGGGTGACTGAGTGACTGACTGAGTGACTGAGTGAGTGACTGAGTGGGTGACTGAGTGAGTGACTGAGTGACTGAGTGAGTGACTGAGTAACTGAGTGAGTGAGTGACTGAGTGACTGACTGACTGAGTGACTGAGTGACTGAGTGAGTGACTCAGTGACTGATTGGGTGACTCAGTGACTCAGTGAGTGACTGATTGGGTGACTCAGTGAGTGACTGAGTGAGTGACTGAGTGGGTGAATCAGTGAGTGACTGAGTGAGTGACTCAGTGAGTGACTCAGTGAGTGACTGAGTGAGTGACTCAGTGAGTGACTCAGTGAGTGACTGTCGCCGCTCCCACCGCTTCAGCGGTGTCTCTGACCCCTGACCCCACGTCCAGCTGGCTCAAGCTGAACCCTGACCACGTGGGCTTCTACCGCGTCACCTACAGCCCCCAGCTGTGGGCTGCCCTCCTGCAGCAGCTGCAGGACAACCACACGGTACGTGGGCGGGGCCGGGGGGTCACGTGCCACTCCACCTCCTTACCATTGTGATGGACGCCTGCTGTTCCGTGAGACTCGCATCGTCGTCGTCGTCGTCGTCATCATCGTCGTCGTCGTCATCACTGTTGTCATCGTCGTTGTCGTCATAATCGTCGTCACTGTTGTCATCGTTACTGTCGTCATCGTCACTGTCGTCATCATCCTCATTGTCGTCACTGTCGTCGTCGTCACTGTCGTCATCGTCATCGTCGTTGTCGTCATCGTCGTCATCGTCGTCATCATCGTCGTCATCATCGTCGTCGCTGTTGTCATCGTTACTGTCGTCATCGTCATCGTCACTGTCGTCATCATCTTCATTGTCGTCACTGTCGTCGTCACTGTCGTCATCGTCGTCGTCGTCATCCTCATTGTCGTCACTGTCGTCATCGTCACTGTTGTCATCCTCATCGTCACTGTCGTCATCGTCACTGTTGTCATCCTCATCATCACTGTCGTCATCGTCACTGTTGTCATCCTCATCGTCACTGTCGTCATCGTCACTGTCGTCATCGTGATCCTCGTCAGCATGCACAGTGGCACGGCGTCCATGCGTGTCGCCACTGTCGCCCATCTTCATGTCTGTGGTCAAGATGTCTCTCTTGGTCTTTGTTGATGGCGGTGTTGTGTTGGTTGTTGTTGTTGTTTGTGTGGTGGTTTAGTTGTTTACGTTGTTGTGGCTACGTTGTTGTTGTTGATGTCGTTGTGTATGTTGATGTTTCTGTTGCAATGGTTATATTGTTGTTGTTGTTTATGTTGTGGTTCATGTTGCTATGGTTACATTGTTGTGGTGTAAGTTGTGGTTCATGTTGCTATGGTTACATTGTTGTGGTGTAAGTTGTGGTTCATGTTGCCATGGTTACATTGTTGTTGTGTATGTTGTGGTTCATGTTGCCATGGTTACATTGTTGTTGTGTATGTTGTGGTTCATGTTGCTATGGTTACATTGTTGTTGTGTATGTTGTGGTTCATGTTGCTATGGTTACATTGTTGTTGTGCATGTTGTGGTTCATGTTGCTATGGTTGCATTGTTGTTGTTGTGTACGTTGTGGTTCATGTTGCTATGGTTACATTGTTGTTGTTGTGTATGTTGTGGTTCATGTTGCTATGGTTACATTGTTGTTGTTGTGTATGTTGTGGTTCATGTCGCTATGGTTCACGTTGTGATTGCTATGGTTGTTTATGTTGTTGTTGTTGTTTATGTTGTTGTTGTTGTTGATGTTGTTGTTGTTGTTGTCGCCGGCAGGTGTTCTCCGATGGTGACCGTGCCGGGTTCATCGACGACGCTTTCTCATTGGCCCGGTCAGTGCGGTGGGGGGTGGGGGGCTCCATGTGCGACGTTTCACAGCCGCCGCCGGCGGCAGCAGCAGGAGCAGCAGCACGAGGGGATAGCAGAATCAGGCGTCCAGTAGGCTACACGCAGCCGTCACGTGGTCAACACACCAGCGCTACTCCGGCCCATGGCCCTGCTTGGCCCCCCGAGTCGAGATCCGCTCATCATCCTCTGGTTGTTTTTTAAAGGGGGTACGTCGTGAGGCGGGACCCCCCCCCCCCGAGCTCATCATCGTCTCCACCGCCCCCCCCCGCCCGCTCCACCTCCCCCCCCCAGGGCGGGGCTACTGCCCTACGAGACGGCGCTGAACGTGACGCTGTACGTGCATGCCGAGCGGAGCCTCTTCCCCTGGGACCGCCTGCTGGCCGCCGTCGCTTACCTCCGCGACATGCTGGAGGACACGCCCCTCTACCCCCCTCTTCCAGGTGGGGGCGCTGTGCAAGCACGTGCACGGGGGGGGAGGGGAGGAGGGAGGGGGGAGAGAGGGAGGGAGGGAGGGAGGGAGGAAGGGAGGGAGGAGTGTGTCACTGTGTGTGTCAGTGTGTCACACAAACACTGTGTGTGTCACTGTGTGTGACACACACAGTGACACACACTGACACCGATCGCAACTCAAGCAGCCGCTCAGCTGGCAAGGCGTCCATCGAACGACTCACCCATCGGACAGCTCACCCACCGAACAGCTCACCTACCGAACAGCTCACCCACTTAACAGCTCACCCACCTAACAACTCACACACCGAACAGCTCACCTACTGAACAGCTCACCCACCAAACAGCTCACCCACTGAACAGCTCACCCACCGAACAGCTCCCCAACCAAACAGCTCACCCACTGAACAGCTCACCCACCTAACAGCTCCCCGACCAAACAGCTTACCCACCGAACAGCTCACCGACCAAACAGCTCACCCACCGAACAGCTCACACACCTAACAGCGCACCCACTGAACAGCTCACCCACTGAACAGCTCACCCACCTAACAGCTCACCCACCTAACAGCTCACCCACTGAACGGCTCACCCACCAAACAGCTCACCCACCGAACAGCTCACCCACTGAACAGCTCACCCACCTAACAGCTCACCCACCTAACAGCTCACCCACTGAACGGCTCACCCACCAAACAGCTCACCCAACGAACAGCTCACCCACCAACAGCTCACCCACCTAACAGCTCAACCAACCAACAGCTCACCCACTGAACAGCTCACACACCGAACAACAAAATAATGAAAACACTCACCCAAGAAGTCACCCAGCACTCCCTCACCCACTCACCCGCGATACTACTCACCAACTCACCCATTCAAGCAATCAATCACCCTCTCACCTACCGATGATGTCGACGATGTTGATGGTTATGTTGACGATGATGTTGACGATGATGTTGACGATGATGTTGACGACGATGTTGACGACGATGTTGACGACGATGTTGACAGTTATGTTGACAATGATGTTGACGATGATGTTGACGACAATGTTGACAGTTATGTTGACGATGATGTTGACGATGTTGACGACGATGTTGATGGTTATGTTGACGATGATGTTGACGACGATGTTGACGGTTATGTTGACGATGATGTTGACGATGTTGACGACGATGTTGATTCATGTTGACGATGATGTTGACGACGATGTTGACGGTTATGTTGACGATGATGTTGACGATGTTGACGACGATGTTGACGACGATCGAAGTTGATGGTTATGTTGACGACGATGTTGACGACGATGTTGACGACAATGCTGATGGTTATGTTGACGATGATGTTGACGACGATGTTGACGATGATGTTGACGGTTATGTTGACGATGATGTTGACGACGATGTTGACGGTTATGTTGACGATGATGTTGACGATGTTGACGACGATGTTGACGACGATCGAAGTTGATGGTTATGTTGACGACGATGTTGACGACGATGTTGACGACAATGTTGATGGTTATGTTGACGATGATGTTGACGACGATGTTGATGGTTATGTTGACTATGATGTTGATGGTTATGTTGACGATGATGTTGATGGTTATGTTGACGGTTATGTTGATGGTTATGTTGACGATGATGTTGATGACGATGTTGATGGTTATGTTGACGATGATGTTGATGACGATGTTGATGGTTATGTTGACGATGATGTTGATGACGATGTTGATGGTTATGTTGACTATGATGTTGACGACAATGTTGACGGTTATGTTGACGATGATGTTGACGACGATGTTGACGATGATGTTGACGATGATGTTGATGGTTATGTTGACGATGATGTTGACGGTTATGTTGATGGTTATGTTGACGACGATGTTGACGACAATGTTGACGGTTATGTTGACGATGATGTTGACGATGTTGACAACGATGTTGATGGTTATGTTGACGACGATGTTGACGGTTATGTTGACGATGATGTTGACGATGTTGACGACGATGTTGATGGTTATGTTGACGACGATGTTGACAATGTTGACGACGATGTTGATGGTTATGTTGACGACGATGTTGACGGTTATGTTGACGATGATGTTGATGGTTATGTTGACGACGATGTTGATGACGATGTTGATGGTTATGTTGATGACGATGTTGATGGTTATGTTGACGGTTATGTTGACGATGATGTTGATGACGATGTTGATGGTTATGTTGACGATGATGTTGATGGTTATGTTGACGATGATGTTGACGATGTTGTTGACGATGTTGACGACGATGTTGATGGTTATGTTGACGACAATGTGGATGGTGATGTTGACGACGATGTTGATGACAATGTTGACGATGATGTTGATGGTTATGTTGACGATGATGTTGACGATGATGTTGACGGTTATGTTGACGATGATTTTGATGACGATGTTGACGGTTATGTTGACGATGATGTTGACGATGATGTTGACGACGATGTTGACGACGATGTTAACGATGATGTTGACGGTTATGTTGACGATGATGTTGGCGATGATGTTGACGATGATGTGACGATGTTCACTGCAGACATACTGGCGGCAGCAGGTGACGCCCATCACCTCTAAGCTGACGTGGAACGATGAGGGAGAGCACTTGGACAAGTACATCATCATCATCAGCATCATTATCAGCGTCATCATTAGCGGCATTGTCATCATAATCAGCAGCCGCAGCATCATCATTGTCATTGACGTCATAATCATCATCACCACCATCCGCATCGTTGGCGTGATCATCATAATCATCAGGATCATTGCCATCACCATCATCATCAACACCATCACAATTGTCAGCAGCATTGTCATCGTTGTATATACACCAACGTGCGTGACAAGCGACGCTTACATGACACGTGGCACATGAAATGCACGTGACATGTAACACGTGTGTGTGACACTTGACACGTGTGTGTGACAGGTGTGTGTGACGTGTGTGTGACACGTGTGTGTGAAGTGTGTTTGACACGTGTGTGTGACACGTGTGTGTGATGTGTGTTTGACACGTGTGTGTGACACGTGTGTGTGACGTGTGTGTGACACGTGTGTGTGTGATGTGTGTTTGACACGTGTGTGTGACACGCGACACGTGTGTGTGTGACACGTGACACGTGTGTATGACGTGTGTGTGACACGTGTGTGTGATGTGTGTTTGACACGTGTGTGTGACACGCGACACGTGTGTGTGACACGTGACAGTGTGTATGACGTGTGTGTGACACGTGTGTGTGGCACGTGTGTGTGACACATGACCCGTGTGTATGACCCGTGTGTGTGTCACACGTGACACGTGTGTGTGACACGTGACACGTGACACGTGTGTGTGACCCGTGTGTGTGTGACACGTGACACGTGTGTGTGACCCGTGTGTGACACGTGACACGTGTGTGTGTGACACGTGACACGTGTGTGTGACCCGTGTGTGTGTGACACGTGACACGTGTGTGTGACCCGTGTGTGTGTGACACGTGACACGTGTTTGTGACCCGTGTGTGTGTGACACGTGACACGTGTGTGTGTGACGCGTGTGTGTGTGACACGTGACACGTGTGTGTGACCCGTGTGTGTGTGACACGTGACACGTGTGTGTGACCCATGTGTGTGACACGTGACACGTGTGTGTGACCCGTGTGTGTTGATGACACGTGACACGTGTGTGACACGTGTCACGTGTGTGACACGTGTGTGTGACACGTGACACGTGTGTGTGACACGTGACACGTGACACGTGTGTGTGACACGTGTGTGTTTGACACGTGTCACGTGTGGGCAGGCTGCTGCGTGAGCAGGTGCTGGGCCTGGCGTGCCGCATGGGCGATGAGGAGGCCCTCGCAAACGCCACCAACCTCTTTGATGCCTGGAAGAGTGGGCAGAGGTTCGTGCGTGTGTGTACCTGTGTGTGTGTGTACCTGTGTGTGTGTGTACCTGTGCGTGTGTGTACCTGTGCGTGTGTGTACCTGTGCGTGTGTGTACCTGTGCGTGTGTGTACCTGTACGTGTGTGTACCTGTGTGTGTGTGTACCTGTGTGTGTGTGTGTACCTGTGCGTGTGTGTACCTGCACGTGTGTTCAAACGCTCACTGCGGAGGAGAGGCTGCCACTCCTCTGTCGGGAGCTGGACCGGTACCGCCTGGATCTCTGTGGCATCCAGGAGGTCCAGTGGACCGGTTCTGGCTCCTGCCACCATGAGGGGTGGACAGTCCTCTACTCGGGGCAGCAGACTGCCAAACAACAGGGTGTTGCTCTTCTTTTGAACAAAAGAATGAAGGGGGCGTGGGAGCGTGGCGGATGAGGTGTGGGAAGCTGTAAGCCCCAGGCTACTTTGGGCTCGCCTTCCCATCAACCGGAGGCGAGGAGTGGTGGTCGTGGTTACTTATGCCCCCACCGAAGATGAACATACGTGGAGGGATGCAGGCAAAGCCGATGAGTCAGATGCCTTCTATGACCTCCTGTCACACGTGCTGGCTAAAGTGGCCCTTCGGGATAGAGTTATCTTGTTGGGTGACTTCGATGCCCGGGTTGGTCATGATGCTGGTACTTGGTCTGGAGTGATTGGAGGGCATGGGCCAGATCAGCACAATAACAATGGTAGGAAGCTGCTAGATTTTTGTGCAGCCCATGGGCTTGTAATTACCCACACGCTGTTCCGGCATCGGCGCATCCACACAACATCATGGATGCATGCTGGGTCCAAGTAAGAACATCTGCTGGACTACATAGTGACGGACCAGTGGATGCGGGCCCATGTCCTTGACACCAGGACCTACCGTGGAGCTGATCTGCCCTCTGACCATCGACTAGTCATCTGTAAGATGCGCCTTCCATTCTTCCACTCCGGTGGTGGGTGCACACCCAGGACCCCATTCCAACCTAAAGTGCCCTGGTCTCAGTTATCTGATGAAAGTTGCAAGCGAGAATTTAATCATCGCTTGCGGCTGGGGTTGGCATCGTCCCCCACTCCTCCTGATGTCGAGGGTAAATGGGCGAGGTTTAGGACTGTGACTCATGCAGCTGCAATGGCTGCTTTGGGTACGCTGTCCAGACCTCTCCAGAGACTGTGGCTGACAGAGGAGGTGTTCAGGATAGTTGAGAAAAAGCGACAGGCGCACTGTCATCGCCTACAGAATCCCACGTCAGAGAATGAGGAGGCTTACCGCAGCCTTCGCTCGGAGGTTCGGAGAGCCGTGAGGTGCTGCAAAGATGGGTGGTGGTCGCGGGTTGCTGAGGAGATGGAGTCTGCCTCAGTGGCCCGTGATCACAAATCTCTATTTAACTCCATCAAAAAAGTAACCTGCAGCGCCACACCTATTACATCATTAGGGGAAAAAACGGTGATCCAATCTCCGACCCCCAGGAACAGGTTTTCAGATTTGCTGAGCATTTCTGTGAAGTCTTGGGGGAGGGAAAATCCCTCCGCCAGGAAAACATCGTGGCACAAAGTGGGGATGACCCTGCTGAGGCTGCGGTGCCTCATATATTGGAGGAAGTCACCCCCTGTGAGTGGCTAGCTGAGGTGCCATCTGTTGAGGAAGTACTGAAGGCGATCCGGAGTCTGAGACCAGAAAAGGCACAGGGCAGAGATGATCTCCCAAGCGAAATGCTGAGGAGGGTGGAGTTTGTGCACAGACTGCCCTATATGACATCATAACAACAGTCTGGACCACTGGACGGGTTCCGCAGGATTGGAAGGATGCCCTGGTGGTCCCCCTCTTTAAGAAGGGGGACCGCACAGACTGTAACAACTACAGGGGCATCTCACTCCTCAGTGTGCCGGGAAAGGTCCTGGCAAGGATTATTCAACATCGCCTTGCCAGGCACGCTGAGGAGAGGCTTTCGGAGCCCCAATGCGGTTTCAGGAAAGGGCGGTCCTGCACAGATGCCATATTTTCTGTCCGTCTGCTACAGCAGAGGTGTAGGGAATTCCAGCAAGTCCTACATCTCTGCTTTATTGACCTGGTCAAGGCCTATGATACCATCAGTCGGCCTGGGCTCTGGTTTGTTCTTCGTGTTTTTGGAGTCCCTGACTCTCTGCTCACGATCATTAACGACCTTCATGATGGTGAGCAGGCCCGGGTAAAACTACGTGGCCGGGAGTCCGAGCCATTCCCTGTACACCTTGGGGTACGACAGAGATGTCCTCTGGCTCCCACATTATTTAATATATATTTTGACCACGTAGTTCGTGAAGCCTTCAATAGCTGTACCGGGGAATCTCCATTTGGTACAGATATAATGGGAGGCTGATCAATGCCTGGGTGCAGTCAAGGGATGGCTCCCTATTGCTCAACCACGTTATGTATGCTGATGATTTGGTAATAGCTGCTCATTCAGAGGAGGAGTTGGAGATGCTGCTTCTGAGACTGGAGCGTGCCACTAAGAGATGGGGCCTTACCATTAGCCCCACCAAAACTAAGCACCTTCCTGGGTATTTTGTACCATCGGACACTCCACCCCTACTACTCCCAACCGGTGATGGGACAGTTGTGGAGAGAGTGGAGAGTTTCCCATACCTGGACAGTGTGCTTATGACCGGCTCCAGTTTAACAGCAGAGGTCTCACTCCGAATCAGTCGAGCGGCAATATCTTTTCATCGGTTGCATAACGCTGTGTGGAAGCTACCTGGTCTGTCGCTCCGCACTTAGCTTCAGGTCTTCTCGGCCACGGTCATTCCCTCCCTTCTCTACGCTTGCAAAACGTGGACCCCCTAATGGAACATCTTTGCCGGTTAGAAACATTTAGGCTAGCCTGCCTACGATCCATCCTGTGTTTAACCAGGCTGGATTGTGTGAGGAGCTCACAAATCCTTGAAAGATCTGGGCAAGGTCCCATCAGTGAGCTCCTCCGGCGGGCAAGGCTGCGATGGCTGGGTCATGTAGCCCGCATGCCCAGCCACCGCATGCCGAAACAGCTTTTGTTCGGCCAGATCGAGGGGGCTAAACGGGCGCGGCACGGGCTAGAGAGGAGATGGAGTGATGTGGTACAGGAGGACGTGGAGCTGAGTGGACTTGCCGATGACTGGAACCAGCGGTGTCAAGATCGGCCTCTGTGGAGGAGGCTCGTGTAGGATGCTACTGGGCAGTTGGAGGCAGTCGCCCTCCAACAACAACGGAGGGCGGAGGAGCGACGCTCAGAACAACGAGCGGAGCGCCGGGTGGCTAAAGCACAGCAGGTTGGCACAGTAGGGGGCACAGGTGGTGCATCAGCCAGCAGTCATCTCAGTCAGTCGACCCGTGGCACCTGGGTCTGCCCCGTGACCTCCTGCCAGTGTGCGTTCGACACTTCACGTGGCCTCAGGGTGCACATAGCCTGGCACAAGCGTCGTCGTGGTGACGTCACCGCCACTTAGCGGCGAATGGCGGTTGTTGTTGTTGTTGTGTGAACCTTCACGTGCGCGTGAACAGCATCGCGCCCAACGTGCGACTCCTGGTGTACCGCTACGGCATGCAGCAGCACAGCGACGACGCCTCCTGGGAGTTCATGCTGCAGAGCTACATGCAGAGCCCGCTCGCCCAGGAGAAGGACAAGCTGCTGTACGGCCTCGCCTCCACCCACAGCGTCTCGCAGCTCGCACGGTGAGCCGGGGCGACGTGGCGACGGTCAGCCGAGGTTGGTGCGATCAGCGCAGTTGAGCGGTGGAGGCCGAATCGAGGTTTCTGCTTCCGTCGGCGAGAGGGTTCCGACGGTTCCACGCACGTCCACCCGTCCACCTGTCCTTCAACCCGTCCACCCCTACATCTCTTCGACGGTCCACCTGTCTGTCCACCCGTCCACCCGTCCACCTGTCTGTCCACCCATACACCCGTCCACCTGTCTGTCCACCCATCCACCTGTCTGTCCACCCATCCACCTGTGCATCCACCCATCCACCTGTCTGTCCACCTATCCACCCATCCACCCATCTACCTGTCTCTCCACCCATCCACCCATCCACCTGTCTGTCCACCCATCCACCTGTCTGTTCACCCATCCACCCATCCACCTGTCTGTCCACCCATCCACCTGTCTGTCCACCCATCCACCCATCTACCTGTCTCTCCACCCATCCACCCATCCACCTGTCTGTCCACCCATCCACCTGTCTGTCCACCCATCCACCCATCCACCTGTCTGTCCACCTGCCCACGTTCAGGTACCTGGAGCTGCTGAAGAACGAGTCCGTGATCCGCTCGCAGGACATGTTCACCGTGCTACGCTACATCTCGCTCAACCCCTACGGCAAAACTATGGCCTGGGACTGGACCCGGCTCAACTGGGAGTACCTGGTTGGACGGTGAGGAGTCTGTGCGTGTCCGTGTGTGTCCGTGCGTGTCCGTGTGTGTCCGTGTGTGTCTGTGTGTGTCTGTGCGTGTCTGTGTGTGTCCGTGCATGTCTGTGTGTGTCCGTGTGTGTCCGTGTGTGTCTGTGCGTGTCCGTGCGTGTCCGTGCGTGTCTGTGTGTGTCTGTGCGTGTCTGTGCGTGTCTGTGTGTGTCCGTGCGTGTCTGTGTGTGTCTGTGTGTGTCTGTGTGTGTCCGTGCGTGTCTGTGTGTGTATATGTTTATGCAGTGTTGATGCTAGTGACGTTATTGAGGACGAGGGAGGCAAAGGAACGCCGTGCGTGGTGCTGGCCACCCACCCCCTCGTGTGCCGTGCCGGCCTTGATAGGTGCTGCTCGCTAACAGCATTTGCCCCAGCAGTCTGTTAAGGCTATACGGGGGATCTTTGTCTTTATTATGTAGTGTATGGGGTAGTGTAGTGCTACGAACTCCGGCCATCCGAGTTCACTTCCCACTGATGGCCAACACCAGTGACGATTATTTGAACCGGTCCTGGGCCTCCCCTAGGCTGACTCAGCCTCAAATGAATACCTCGTGCGGTGTGTAGACATCGCCACTGGAGAGACAAAGGCGGTGGGGCGTGATGTTGGACACTCACCTCGTCGTGTACTGTGCTACTCGCGAACAGCACTTGCCCCAAACAGTGTGTGTAGGTTATACGGGGGATCTTTGTCTGTGTCAAAACTATTTCCAGTATAGCCTATACGAGGCTGTTGAGGCAAGTGCTTTTAAGGCCAGCACAACGAATTATCCCCACCCCTCCCCCCCCCAAACGCCCCACCCCCCTCACCTGGCCACTGTGTGTGACGTGGCCACTGTGTGTGACGTGGCCACTGTGTGTCACGTGGCCACTGTGTGTCACGTGGCCACTGTGTGTCACGTGGCCACTGTGTGTCACGTGGCCACTGTGTGTCACGTGGCCACTGTGTGTCACGTGGCCACTGTGTGTCACGTGGCCACTGTGTGTCACCTGGCCACTGTGTGTCACGTGGCCACTGTGTGTCACGTGGCCACTGTGTGTCACCTGGCCACTGTGTGTCACGTGGCCACTGTGTGTCACGTGGCCACTGTGTGTCACCTGGCCACTGTGTGTCACGTGGCCACTGTGTGTCACGTGGCCACTGTGTGTCACGTGGCCACTGTGTGTCACCTGGCCACTGTGTGTCACCTGTGCAGGTTTGGCATCACGGATCGCAACCTGGGTCGCCTGGTGCAGCGAATCAGCACCTCCTTCAACACGGAGCTGCATCTGTGGCAGGTGCTCACCTGCACGCTCGCCTTGACGCTCACCTGCACGCTCACCTGCACGCTCGCCTTGACGCTCACCTGCACGCTCACCTGCACGCTCACCTGCACGCTCGCCTTGATGCTCACCTGCACGCTCACCTTGACGCTCACCTGCACGCTCACCTGCACGCTCACCTGCACGCTCAGCTGCACGCTCACCTGCACGCTCACCTGCACGCTCACCTTGACGCTCACCTGCACACTCGCCTTGACGCTCACCTGCACGCTCACCTGCACGCTCACCTGGACGCTCACCTGGACACTCACCTGCACGCTCACCTTGACGCTCACCTGCACGCTCACCTGCACGCTCACCTGCACGCTCACCTGCACGCTCACCTTGACGCTCACCTGCACGCTCACCTGCACGCTCACCTGCACGCTCACCTGCACGCTCACCTGCACGCTCACCTGCACGCTCACCTGCACGCTCACCTGCACGCTCACCTGCACGCTCGCCTGAACGCTCACCTTGACGCTCACCTGCATGCTCACCTGAACGCTCGCCTTGATGCTCACCTGCACGCTCACCTGCACGCTCACCTGGACGCTCACGTATTCTCTCACTCACCTGCACACTCAGCCGGAAACTCATCTGCAAACTCAACTGTACTCTCACCTATTCTCGCACTCACCTGTATATTCACTCACCTGTATATTCACTCACCTGTATATTCACTCACCTGTATATTCACTCACTTGTATATTCACTCACCTGTATATTCACTCACCTGTATATTCACTCACCTGTATATTCACTCACCGACACACCTGAACTCACTCATGTGTGCTTCCCCGTCTCCACCCCCATGCCCCCCCATGCACCCCCCATGCCCCCCCTCCCCCCCCCCTCGTGCCCCCCCTTGCCCCCTGCCCTGTGCCACCCCCCTGCCCCCCCATGCCCCCCCGTGCCCTCCATGCCCCCCATGCCCCCCCGTGCCCCCCATGCCCCCCCGTGCCCTCCCATGCCCCCCCATGCCCCCCGTGCCCCCCATGCCCCCCATGCCCCCCCATGCCCCCCATGCCCCCCGTGCCCCCATGCCCCCCCGTGCCCCCCATGCCCCCCGTGCCCCCCCATGCCCCCCCATGCCCCCCATGCCCCCCGTGCCCCCCATGCCCCCCATGCCCCCCCGTGCCCCCCCCCGCCAGATGGAGTCGTTCTTCTCGCTGTACCCGGAGGCCGGTGCTGGTGCCAGCTCGCGGCTGCAGGCGCTGGAGACGCTGCGGACGAACATCGCCTGGGTACAGCAACACCAGGGCAGCGTGGGGGGCTGGCTGCAGGAGCACGTGTAGCGGGGTGACTCACGGGGTGACTACGGGGTGACTACGGGTGACTACGGGTGACTCACGGGGTGACTCACTGGGTGACTACGGGGTGACTCACGGGGTGACTCACGGGGTGACTCACGGGGTGACTATGGGGTGACTACGGGGTGACTACGGGGTGACTCACGGGGGTGACTCACGGGGTGACTACGGGGTGACTCACGGGGTGACTACGGGGTGACTACGGGTGACTACGGGGTGACTCACGGGGTGACTACGGGGTGACTCACGGGGTGACTCACGGAGTGACTCACGGGGTGACTACGGGGTGACTCACGGGGTGACTACGGGGTGACTACGGGGTGACTATGGGGTGACTCACGGGGTGACTACGGGTGACTCACGGGGGTGACTCACGGGGTGACTATGGGGTGACTCACGGGATGACTACGGGTGACTCACGGGGGTGACTCACGGGGCGACTCACGGGGCGACACACGGGGTGACTCACGGGGTGACTACGGGGTGACTCACGGGGTGACTACGGGTGACTCACGGGGTGACTCACGGGGTGACTCACGGGGTGACTCACGGGGCGACATCAGGGCGACTCACGGGGTGACTCACGGGGCGACTCACGGGGTGACTCACGGGGTGACTCACGGGGTGACTACGGGTGACTCACGGGGTGACTACGGGTGACTCACGGGGCGACTCACGGGTGACTCACGGGGTGACTCACGGGGGTGACTCACGGGGCGACTCACGGGGCGACTCACGGGGTGACTACGGGTGACTCACGGGGTGACTTACGGGGTGACTACGGGTGACTCACGGGGTGACTTACGGGGTGACTACGGGTGACTCACGGGGTGACTCACGGGGTGACTACGGGTGACTCACGGGGTGACTTACGGGGCGACTCACGGGGTGACTACGGGTGACTCACGGGGTGACTACGGGTGACTCACGGGGTGACTATGGGTGACTCACGGGGTGACTCACGGGGTGACTACGGGTGACTCACGGGGTGACTCACGGGGTGAATCACGGGGTGAATCACTGGGTGACTCACGGGGTGGCTCACGGGGTGACTACGGGATGACTTACGGGGTGACTCACGGGGTAACTCACGGGGTGACTACGGGGTGACTACGGGTGACTCACGGGGTGACTACGGGGTGACTACGGGTGACTCACGGGGTGACTCACAGGGTGACTCACGGGGTGACTACGGGTGACTCACGGGGTGGCTCACGGGGTGACTTAATACCGTGGAGGAGCATGGGGTCGACTCACGGGGCGACATCAGGGCGACTCACGGGGTGACTCACGGGGTGACTTAATAATGGGGCGACTGACAGGGCGACTAAATGCAGTCACTCCTTGGTTGATGTCAGCGCTACGTTCTTGACAAGTGCGACTTTAAAGTGAAACCAGGTTTCGGGGGGAGAGATATTTTTTTTGTTCGCCAGCCAAAGCTCAAATTAAATAATTTGAAACAATTTAACGGCGCCATGAGTTTTAACTTATTTTAAACAAGCAATTTTTAAACCGTACCCACCAACGATGATTCGGGTGCTTGGTGGAATGCGGTGGATGAGTGAGTGGTGGCGTCAGAGAATGAAAGAGGGTGGATCGTCCGATTGCTGCTCGCCCCTCTTCATGCCGAACTCATCTCCTGGCGGAGATGTTTACACACCGCACCACGTACTCAGTTGAGGCTGAGTCGACCTAGGCGAGGCCCAGGATCGGTTCAGATATAATCACCGGCGGTGTTGGCCGTGAGCGGGAATCGAACTCGTGTCGCCGGGCTCTTAGCGCGGAGCAGCGCTAACCGCTGCGCCACCACTCCCGACACCCCTCCCTCCCTCCCTCCCTCCCTCCCTCCCAGCCCTCCCCCTCCCTCCCTCCCTCCCAGCCCTCCCTCCCAGCCCTCCCCTCCCTCCCTCCCTCCCTCCCAGCCCTCCCTCCCAGCCCTCCCCTCCCTCCCTCCCTCCCTCCCTCCCAGCCCTCCCCCTCCCTCCCTCCCAGCCCTCCCTCCCAGCCCTCCCCTCCCTCCCTCCCTCCCTCCCTCCCTCCCTCCCTCCCTCCTTCCCTCCCTCCCTCCCTCCCTCCCAGCCCTCCCTCCCTCCCTCCCTCCCAGCCCTCCCCCTCCCTCCCTCCCTCCCAGCCCTCCCTCCCAGCCCTCCCCTCCCTCCCTCCCTCCCAGCCCTCCCCCTCCCTCCCTCCCTCCCAGCCCTCCCTCCCAGCCCTCCCCTCCCTCCCTCCCTCCCTCCCTCCCTCCCTCCTTCCCTCCCTCCCTCCCTCCCTCCCAGCCCTCCCTCCCTCCCTCCCTCCCTCCCTCCCTCCCTCCCTCCCTCCCAGCCCTCCCCTCCCTCCCTCCCTCCCAGCCCTCCCTCCCAGCCCTCCCCTCCCTCCCTCCCTCCCTCCCTCCCTCCCAGCCCTCCCCCTCCCTCCCTCCCTCCCAGCCCTCCCTCCCAGCCCTCCCCTCCCTCCCTCCCTCCCTCCCTCCCTCCTTCCCTCCCTCCCTCCCTCCCAGCCCTCCCTCCCTCCCTCCCTCTCTCCCAGCCCTCCCTCCCTCCCAGCCCTCTCAGCCCTCCCTCCCAGCCCTCCCCCTCCCTCCCAGCCCTCCCTCCCAGCCCTCCCTCCCCCTCCCAGTCCTCCCTCCCTCCCAGCCCTCCCTCCCTCCCTCTCAGCCCTCCCTCCCTCCCTCCCACCTCCGCCAGCGGAGTCCCTCACGGCTGAGACAATTACGGGACGGGGTAATTATTGAATTTGATGATCCTCGCGGTGGGCCCCCCAGTGCTGCAGGGGGCCTCAGGCGATGCTCTCATCGGGCAGGAGGTGGGATTGGGAATGTGTTGAGTGGTCGCCCCGTAGGCACTTTGGCACGTGGAGGGGTGGGGGAGTTAGAGGCGCAGCTCCTGCAATAGCACCGCCTCGCGACACCGCTAACGGAAAAGGGGCCTCCTCCTGCTCCTCCTCCTCCACCACTCGCGGGAAGCCCTGGGGGAGCCCCACTCGACAGGGCTACTCGGCCTACTCTTCCTCCCTCACCAGACGGCCTTGGAAGAGGTTGCAGTTACCCACACTTCACCCCACCACCGCACGCGACATATTACTGGACACCCGTGAAAAGGGAGCCTTATAGCTCATCGGATTCCTCCATCAAAAATATTCCTCTGATTGTGACATGCCGATCGACTGGGGTGGACCAGCGCTCTTCACTGCATGCCACCCCCTCGCCCCCGCAGGCCACTGGCGGGGCCCCTGGTGGCCTTTAACGCGGCCCCTGACGACTCGCGGCCCCCACCGACAACACCCAACCAGCGAAGACTCCCCTGGATGATGCTAGTGCGGGGCTTGTAGCATCATGTTATGAAGGGTCCTTCGATAAAACATAAAAACACGTAATCATTAAAACACCAATTTTTTCACTTGCACAGGCAAGTAATTGTATTTTTTTTCATTCGCTGTACAGCCACAAATAATACGACGAATCGCTAACCTTCAACACCCAGTCGTTCACAAAAGTTGAAGGCAGTACAGTACTGTAGTAATAGAGCAAGTGCTGAATCGCTGAACCGGAATTGATAGCTTGAAATCATTTCGCGCGGGGGGCTCTTGAACGTGCGGACCCCGTGGCTAATGTAGCTGCTTTTGCTACTAGGATAATCCGGCACTGCCTATCATCATCATCATGCTGTTGTCACGCACCCCCAATGGTTTCAAATCTTGTGGTGGCCCTAGGTCACACCGACGATGTCTTATGGGCGAAAGTGGCAACACCACCCCATCCCATCTCCTCCCCTGAAAATGAGTCATGAGCACTGGGGTGGGACGGTGATATTTAGCTTGGGCCTAATCCCATCACTTTTTTTTTTACAATTGTTTTATCAATCTACGTGATGACTTTACCGAAAGAGCCAGAGAGTATGGATTCCATGCAGTCACGAAAGCTTCAAGTCAACATTTAATCCCATCCTTCCAAGCGTTTGCACGGACGGCTTAGAATGTGTGGGGTGAGTGATGTCCACGCCTTCCGCCACCACCACGGCAGTGGAGATCTGTGTGCTTGTGTGCTTGTGTGCGATGCTCTACTGCAGTGGTGGTTTCGTCTTCACCTGCGGTGCACGAACCCTGTACCTGGGGGGGTGGGAGGGTGTGTGGTCCCTTTCTGGAGGTGCGAGGAATGGACAGATTTGTTTTTTGAAGAAGGCAAATCATCATTAGACCTCCTTTGCCAGTACCAAAATGTAATAATAATAGGGGTTTTCCCCTTTTTTTCTGGCAACAAAACTGAAATCTTTTTACGAGGATTTATGTTACTGCATTAACCACAATACCTGCAGTCAAAATGCAAACAAAAAACATACTATGATAATATATGCATTGTCCTTGAAACTGATTGGTCTACACCAAGGGACGGCTTTCTTTTGAGCCTCGACCCAATTGGTGCTCGACCAGATGACGCTAAAAGGCGTACAGCTCAAAGACAATGCACTATCAAAGTAATGAGGGCTCGGTGTTAGCATCTACATCATTAGACCTCCTTTGCCAGTACCAAAATATAATAACAGGGTTTTTCCCCTTTTTTATGGCAACAAAACTGGAACCTTTTTAACAAGGATTCATGTTTACTGCATTAACCACAATACCTGCAGTCAAAATGCAAACAAAAAAGCCGTCCCTTGGTGTGGACCAATCAGTTTCAAGGACAATGCCACATATATTATCATAGCGTGTTTTTTGTTTGCATTTTGACTGCAGGTATTGTGGTCAATGCAGTAACATGAATCCTTGTTAAAAAAGAAAGGTTCCAGTTTTGTTGCCAGAAAAAAAGGGGGAAAACCCTTTTATTATTAAGGCAAATCATCTAAAACACGCACGCAGTACGGTGAACGTCGGTAACAAGTCACTTTGTTTCATCAAACACAACGTCGTTCTAAACATCATACTTTGTTTTTGTTACGACTGAGAACCAAAAGTGATGCAGGGCTGCAGGCAACGTTAAGAACCGCTGCTCTACTGGGATGCATTGGCGAGTTCGTGGCAGAGTCTCGGTGCTTCGTATTGAGGAGGACACTTCTGCCGGCAGTG